ATGGTCAAATAGCCACAGTAGCCTACTTGACCACTGTTAAAACTAACTTAAAGCGGGTACAGCCTCAGTGTTCACTGTAAACACACACCGGAAGTTGCACAGAATTCTCACTATGTTCAAGTTTGCGCTCAGCAGACCTGAAATTTGCTCAGTGATTAAATGTTTTTGAGGGAACATTGGCTGTGACTCTTATGTGGATGATGTTAAAAATATTTGTTGGTCTGATGTGATTAATAAGGAGCAGCCAGACGCTGCACTTGATGAATGTATGAAACTGCTTCTTCCAATTATTGATCAACATGCACCTGTTAAGAAACTGACTGTTAGAACTGTTAAGGCTCCATGGATTGATGAGGAATTGAAAAACTGTCTGGTTGAAAGAGACGGGGCTAATAAGTCTGGCTGCACATCTGACTGGCTGTAAATTGAGAAATGATGTGACTAAACTCAACAAAAAGAAGAAGAAACTGTATTATGAAGCCAAGATCAATGATATAAAGAATGATGGAAAAAACGTTGGAGTACTTTAAATGGAATTATGGGCAGAAAGACAAATTCAACTGCATCTTTCATCGAATCAGATGGCTTATTGATCACAAAACCATTTGATGTTGACAATTATTTTAATGATTACTTCAAGTGGGCAAACTTTGCTCGAATTTTGTAAAGTTAGTGTGCGAGAGGTGGTAAAATTATTGTTATTGATCAATAATGACAAACCTCCTGGCATTGACAACATAGATGGAAAGCTACTGAGGATGGTAGCTGACTCTATTGCCACTCCTATCTGTCATATCTTTAATCTGAGCCTAGAGGAAAGTATTTGTCCTCAGGCCTGGAGGGAAGCCAAAGTAATTCCGCTACCCAAGAGTGGTAAAGCGGCCTTAACTGGTTCTAACAGCAGACCAATCAGTTTGCTGCCAGCTCTAATCAAACTGTTTGGGAAAATGGTGTTTGACCAAATACAATGCTATTTCTCTGTAAACAAATTGACAACAAACTTCCAGCTGCTTATAGAGAAGGGCACCCAACATGTACTGCATGACTGATGATTGGTTGAAAGTTTGTTGATCATTTGATAATAAGAAAATTGTGGGAGCTGTACTGTTAGATTTCAGTGCAGCCTTTGATATCATTGACCATAAGCTGTTGAGAATTGATGTGTTATGGCTTTTCAACCTCTGCCATATCGTGGATTCAGAGCGATCTATCTAATAGAACTCAGAGGATTTTCTTTAAAAGCTTCTCTGTCAAACATGTAAAGTGTGGTGTACCGCAGGGCAGCTCTCTAGGCCCTCTACTCTTTTCTATTTTGACCAATGACCTGCCACTGGCATTAAACAAGCATTTGTGTCCATGTATGCTAATGATTCAACCATATCCGCATCAGCAACCACAGCTAATGAAGTCACTGAAACCCTTAACAAAGAGTTGCAGTCTGTTTTGGAATGGGTAGCCAGGAATAATCTGGTCCTGAACATCTAAGACTAAGAGCATTGTATTTGGTACAAATCATTCCCTAAGTTCTAGACCTCAGCTGAACCTGGTAATGAACGGTGTGGCTGTTGAACAAGATGAGAAGACTAAATTACTTGGTGTTACCTTTGATAGAACTCTTTGGCCTGAATGCCAAGCGTCACATCTGGAGGAAACCTGGCACCATCCCTATGGTGAAGCATGGTGGTGGCAGCATCATGCTGTGGGGATGTTTTTTCAGCGGCAGGGACTGGGAGTCTAGTCAGGATCGAGGCAAAGATGGACGGAGCAAAGTACAGAGAGATCCTTGATGAAAACCTGCTCCAGTGCGCTCAGGACCTCAGACTGGGCGAAGGTTCACCTTCCAACAGGACAACGACCCTAAGCACACAGCCAAGACAACGCAGGAGTGGCTTCGGGACAAGTCTCTGAATGTCCTTGAGTGGCCCAGCCAGAGCCCCGACTTGAACCCGATCAAACATGAAAATAGCTGTGCAGCAACGCTCCCCATCCAACCTGACAGAGCTTGAGAGGATCTGCAGAGAAGAATGGGGGGAACTCCCCAAAATACAGGTGTGCCAAGCTTGTAGCGTCATACCCAAGAAGACTCGAGGCTGTAATTGCTGCCAAAGGTGCTTCAACAAAGTACTGAGTAAAGGTTGTTTTTTAATATTTTTTTAAATTAGCACTAAACATTTTTTAAAACTATTTGTCATTATGGGGTATTGTGTGTAGATTGATGAGGAAAAAAAACTATTTAACAAAAGCACACCAGTCCTAGCCTAGGCTGCACACTATTTACAACAGAAAACATGAGCCTAAACAAGTAAACAGACAAATATCTCAACATTGACTTACTGTATCAAAGGGAGAGAAGTTTCAAAATCATTGGTTGTTGATCCATCTATTACTTCTTCTTAATGGGCTTCAACCATATGTTTCTTTCACTGGTTGTCTTAGTCCCGCCTCTCATTGAATGTCATTGGTTCTTAGATATATATTTTTTTATTATTTAATTTTCCTTGTTTCAGGTCAACATCATAAACAAATTGTACATGTACTGTATTTGGAAATACAAACAAGAAACACTTGGCCTAATGGGCCTGTTGCAGCCACTGATGGCCACTAGATTATCGCCAGCTGATCTCTCATTAAACCATCAATACGAACCCCTGTAAATTTGATTTTGAATTGAAGGCAGTCAATTCAGGAAGTAATTTTAATTTAAAATGTATTTTTAATTGAGAAGTCATTGTTTTTGTTTTTTTTTATGTTTAAATTATTTAGGTTTACTTCCTGAATTTACTGCCCTTTTATTTGAATTGACCCCAGCCCTGATGGCTGTAGTATATAAACAACTCCTACCAGAGTATAGAGGCCTTACAACTATACAAGAAGAAAAATACAACTATACAAGAAGAAAACTACAACTATACAAGAAGAAAAATACAACTATACAAGAAGAAAAATACAACTATACAAGAAGAAAAATAAACGTAACAAGAAAACGGAGTCAAAGTGGCCAGAGTCCGGATGTACCAACAGAAGACCCATAGATTCATAGTATTTTTATATTGACAGTTCTCGGGGAGGAAGAGATGGCAAAAAGGAGTCCCATATTGTAGAAAAGTCTCCTTTCTTGTCCTCATTTTCTCCAGTGGCAGCACTTTGAAGATCTCACAATACCACTGATTTATTGTGGGTGGCTGGTCTTTTATCCAGTTGAAGAGAATGCATTTGCGTGCCACAAATATATATATATATATATATATATATATATATATATATATATATATATATTATTATTTTTTTAGGAGATTGAGCAGATTTGGGAAGCTGAAATGTTATTAGTAAAATATGTTGTAAGAGTTGTTTATGATTTCACCATAACCCCTTGGATGGCAGGATTGAAAGCCTTTATGTTGACCTCACACAGGAGCTAGAGATGGCTTGCAGGGATTTGTAGTCTTTGCATGATGTCTACTTTGATGCTAATTTGCATTTTCGAATCTGAGCGTAAATAGAGCCCAATATATTGATAAAGGTCACCTTTATTTACATGGTTATCAAAAACCCTCACTCCAGGGTAAACCTTCACGAAACACAGACCTTATTTTAAGTGTTTCTAAAACTCCCAATGGGAAAATGAATGGTGGAAAAACGATTGGAACCATTTCCCTGTTTGACCGCTAGGTTTTATGGGTAGTGTGACACCTCCACTGTGGGGCTCTATTTTTTTTCAGTCATTTTAGCAGACGCTCTTATCCAGAGCGACTTACAGTTAGTGAGTGCCTACATTTTCATACTCTAGAGATTGTATTTAAACACATACTATGCAAATGTAAAAAGGATTATTTTAATAAACATCAACTCTGAAGATGAAAACCCTTCCTGTGATTTCTGGTTATATTTGTCAATGGGGGCGGCACATCATTTCCATGTCAGACAGAAACGCACCATAGTTTTGCTTAGTAGTGCATACCTGCCTTACAGGAACGTGGCATGCCGAATATAAATAACATATTCCTCCTCATACGCAATACAACCGCTTTAGAAACTATTGTACACATACTAGATGCTGTTGAACAACTAGAAGGTGAGCCCCTGCTAGCACTGATCTGGCCCACTTCATAACCTACCTGACCCTACCTGCCGAATATGTCACAGAGAAAATCCACCACCTTGCCTGCTGTACCTGCCCTCCCCTTGACTCCTGCTTCTTCTTAATGAAAGATCCTGGCCCACATCTAAGTTGGAGGATACTCCCCCCCCCCCCCATGAAACAGGTGTGCATAGTGCATCTTTCTTTGATCTCAAATCTCTGGTGTACTTGTAGGACTCCCTGTCAATAAACATGTATAAAATGTTGTCCAATAAACGTATTGTGGGTGTTGACTTTTGACTGAACGATATGTGATATGAAATCCACATTATGGAGAAAAGTGCATTATTACAATTCCCATTAAAGTATTTTATATAACAGTGTGGAAAGCGTTGGGTTCTTGAATGCAGCCCTAGTATGTTGTTCCTCCAACTTCCCATGATGCCATGGTTTGGCTGGGCTGTCCACGTCAAACTATGTGACAGCACAGCACCAAGCTGAGTTGGCCGTTTTACTCCGCTGTCTGAACCGGTGAAAACATATAGGATAAAGACGACCGATATGCCAGACAGTCGTTTCGTTAATGTTATGCGGATCATCCACTATCGAGCTTGTCTAGGTCCGTAAACCACAACCACAGTCTGACTGCAGTGAGTGACCTAGCCAGCTAACGTTAGCATATTAGCTAGCTAGCTGACCAACTAGCTGTAGTTAGTCAGTTACAAATTGAAAACTTCAAAATGTGAAAAATTCAACTTCTGAACAAATTGAAAGAATTCATGTAGAACGTTTCTGTGATTTTTTTTTTTTACAGAAAGCTGAATTGTATTAAGGTAGGGTCGAGGTCGATCGCCACCTCACCAGCTACTAGCTAGTTAGCCTAGCTCCAGCCTGTTTGTTATTGTTTATCTAGCTAGCTAGCTGGTTGTTGTCGAAGATGTCATCGTGGCTGGGTGGACTGGGCTCCGGACTGGGCCAGTCGCTAGGCCAGGTCGGAGGAAGCCTCTCCTCATTCACCGGACAAATATCCACCTTCACCAAAGATATGCTGCTGGAAGGAGTTGAAGAAGTTGCAGGTGAGTGAAAACACGTCAGACACATTAGCTAGCTAGCTAGCTAGCCCATCCCAGCAACAGCCAGCAGGGCACTTCAATCAGCAAGAAAGTAATAGCTACAAGCTATGTAACTGAGCTGTTTCAGCAATTCTCTACATCACCGGCTGCTAGCTGGTTACTCTATAACTGGACTACAGTATTCCTGATCCAGAGAGTTTTCTATTTAGAGAGATATGATCAGATTACACACTATGCATATTGAGCATACCATGAAAAGAGTGGGTGGGCCATCAGTACCTACCAAAACATAAACAGGGGAACAAATGCAGTCCGTTAGCCTTACATATTCCCAAAGCAAATAGTATTAGATTTCTAGGCTGTAATGTGTGTCTAGTGCTGAATGAGAGTTTTACTTTATTTTTGGGGGATGTAGCTTGAACTAGCCAAAGTAACCTTACAGTGAAATGCTTACTGACGAGCCCTTAACCAACAATGCCGTTTTAAGAAAAAAATAAGTGTTAAGTAAAAAATGGATAACAAAAAAATAATTAAAGAGCAGCAGTAAAATAACAGTAGCGAGGCTATATACATGGGGGTACCGGTACAGAGTCAATGTGCGGGGGCACCGGTTAGTCGAGGTAATTGAGGTAATATGTACATGTAGGTAGAGTTAAAGTGACTATGCATAGATAATAACCAGAGAGTAGCACCAGCGAGACCACTGCTACTGATGTAATAAGTAAACAATCATTGACTCATTAATTGACAGACAGAAACCACCGAGGACTTTGATCACTGCGTTCCAACGTACAGTTAGCAAAGCAAAAGTTATGTCTGGTTGAGTGCTGAAATGAGCTCATCATTATTTTAAATGAAATCAGCACATTTCATAACGTTACATGAACTCATAACTTTATTTCTCATTAGGACATTATTCCAGAACATAATAGTCTAGTTGAGAGCCGGGTATGATATTGTGGATTTAGTTGCAGTAATTGGTCTGAAATATTTATTGAACTTAGCAATAGTTTTGAAACGACCCTATATATTATTTCTGTGAATATGTAACCCTGTGAGGTTTGTTATTATGTGTAAAGAGTGCTGGTGAAGGCATGTCTGTTTTTCCTTAGCATGTTGGTCTGTCATGTGAAACACGTTAAGCAGATCTCTCGCTGTATATTTATGCATAGTCACTTTAACTCTACCCACATGTACATATTACTTCAACTACCTCAACTAGCCGGTGCCCCCCGGCACATTGACTCTGCACCGGTACCCCCCTGTATATATAGCCTCCCTACTGTTATTTTATTTTACTTCTGCTCTTTTTTTCTCAACACTTTTTTGTTTTATTCTACTTTTTTATTTAAAATAAATGCACTGTTGGTTAAGGGCTGTAAGTAAGCATTTCACTGTAATGTCTGCACCTGTTGTATTCAGCGCATGTGGCCAATAACGTTTGATTTGATTTGATTTGATTTACAGTATGTGTCACTAGTGGCCAACCCTGGAAGTGCTTAATAGCCTGATAGATAAAATACCGACCTCCTTCCAGACAATATCAGATTCCCTTGGACTTATACTCCTGAAGTTGCTGGTAGTAGGCTACACCAGCGGTCGAAAACCAGCGGTCGGCAACCAGCGGTCGGCAACCAGCGGTCGGCAACCTTTCCCATTTGGAGTGCCAAGTTATCGTACCATTTCTGCTGATCTGCGTGTCAGTTATGATTTTCATACGCACATGAAGTCTTCATAAACAAAATTCTATCTAAATAAAAATGATACAAACCTAAAAAGTAACTTCTATTGCCATTGCCAATATGTAAAAATAGCCTCCATAAAGCAAACAAATAAAAACATTGCAGCCTGCAGGTAGAAAATATCCTATAAATCACATTGGCTACACATGGCCTGTCTGCAAGGAACTTGAAACATTGTATCAACTATTAACTTGGGTCCAGCCCAAAGCTTGTGCTAGCAAACTTGCAACATTGTATCAAATATTCTGGGCCCTCAGTTTTCCGAGCCAGTGAGCTCTGGACAGACAGACACAGCTGTAGGCTATTTGGGCAAGGGATAAGAAGTAATCAGGTAGGCCTATTTTATGACGTTTCCATCGGATCAGAGCATGAAATTTTTTTCCCCCTTTCATGCTGAGTGGTTATCGAAAGGGAGAGAGCTGGAAATATTTTTCTAATAGGCTACGCTGAGGAACTATTGTCATTCTCAATGGATGTAAAAACAGACTTTGTTTACTTGCTGTTTGATGCGAATAAAAAAATACTTTGAGAAGCTCCACAGTGATGATGAGTTAAGACAATCAGAAATAGTATCAGATCCCCAAATGGGCACATTTATAGGCCTACATTTGACTGCAGGCCAGGTAGACTAGTCCTACTTCTATGTGTAATCAGGTGCGTGTCCTTACTCAAGATTGACAGGAGCGCTCCAAACAAAAGACAATGAATAAATTCACAACTCATAAATGGAATGAAATAAACCAAAACTTTTTCCTCACAAGTGTAGCCGAGGTTTGATTGGTCGGTTGTGACTCTGCAAACAAAGTGTCCACTCTGACAATGACAACAGTAAGACTGTAATAATAATAATAATAATATATTGAATGCATGAACAGAAATGACCGTAACCAAACAAACATTGTAGATGAGAAATGGTAAATAACGGTGAATGTACTACTGGTGATCCTGGTGTGCGATCGCCGCTGCCTCCGCAATGGATTCGACCAATCAGACAGGAGGGAATCAGACGTGTCTCATGGGCCATCATTTTATTTTTTATACACTTGCTACTTTATTTGTATTTATTTTATTTAACCTTTATTTAACTAGGCAAGTCAGTTAAGAACTAATTCTTATTTACAATGACGGCCTACACCGGCCAAACGCGGACGACGCTGGGCCAATTGTGCGCCGCCCTATGGGACTCCCAATCACGGCCGGTTGTGAAACAGCCTGGAATCGAACCAGGGGGGTCTGTAGTGACGCCTCAAGCACTGAGATGCAGTGCCTTAGACCGCTGCGCCACTCGGGAGCCCACTGCTCGACTAAAGAAAATCTTGGTCGACCAAACAACGGAGCAGTGGACTACATCCCTAGTGCAGCCACAGTACACACCCATTAGACATAACACAGTGGTGAACTAAAACTTGATTGGTTTCTAGCAAACCTTTAAATGCGGTCTATTAGAATATGAGTCGTGATTATGTGGAGGTTGCATGGCTGTGAATGGTAGTCTACTTGTTATCACACAGTTTTTCATACTTTTCTTTCAGGTGCTTCCACTGAGCTGCAGGTGTCCAGTTCTAAGATGGAGCAAGTGGAGGCTGAGGTACGAGGGTTCTCACCATCATAGGGCCGGTTTCCCGGACTCAGACTAAGCCTAGTCTTGGACTCAAAGGCTATTTTAACGGAGATTCAGTGTTTCTTCTTCTTTCAATGTTGCAGTATGCCCCATGTCATCTGTCCTTTCAATGTTGCAGTATGCCCCATGTCATCTGTCCTTTCAATGTTGCAGTATGCCCCATATAATCTGTCCTTTCAATGTTGCAGTATGCCCCATGTCATCTGTCCTTTCAATGTTGCAGTATGCCCCATGTAATCTGTCCTTTCTGGGTTGCAGTATGCCCCATGTCATCTGTCCTTTCTGGGTTGCAGTATGCCCCATGTAATCTGTCCTTTCTGGGTTGCAGTATGCCCCATGTCATCTGTCCTTTCTGGGTTGCAGTATGCCCCATGTAATCTGTCCTTTCAATGTTGCAGTATGCCCCATGTCATCTGTCCTTTCTGGGTTGCAGTACGAGCGTTTAAAGAGGATCCATGCAGAGCTGGAGGAGAAGCTGGAGGCCTCAGAGATCCAGAATGAACGGCAGTCTTCTGAGTACAGGACCCTGATGCAACAGAGAGATGTAGGGGATGATTCATGGAACTATATGATACACTCAATGAAGAGCGCAAAATCTTATAAATCCTCATATCAGCACCAGAGGTTGGTCTAGTCCAGGTGGTATTCAGATCCTACTCTGGAGGTCCAGAGTACTGCTGCTTCTCTGTCCTACCTGATCAGTTATTGTACCCACTCAGTGTCCCAGGTCTAAATCAGTCCCTGATTTGAAGGGGAAGAATGGAAAGAAAGCAGTTGATCTGGCTTCCAGGTCCAGATTTGAATTTAATGGGATATAATACATATCATCTAGAATATTATAGTCCTATCTAGAAGTGTAAGAGGGGTCTAGCCTAAGGACAGTACAGCCACCTCCGGACCACATACAGCCCCTGGAGACCAGGGTTCGATTCCCCAGTTGACTCCGGTCCATCACTCCTGACCACTTCTATCCTACAGCCCCTGGAGACCAGGGTTTGATTCCCCAGTTGACTCCGGTCCATCACTCCTGACCACTTCTATCCCCTCTCATCTGTCTCCCTCCCTCTCTATACCCCATCTGTCTCCCTCCCTCTCTATACCCCATCTGTCTCCCTCCCTCTCTATACCCCATCTGTCTCCCTCCCTCTCTATACCCCATCTGTCTCCTTCCCTCTCTATACCCCATCTGTCTCCCTCCCTCTCTATACCCCATCTGTCTCCCTCCCTCTCTATACCCCATCTGTCTCCTCCCTCTCTATACCCCATCTGTCTCCTTCCCTCTCTATACCCCATCTGTCTCCCTCCCTCTCTATACCCCATCTGTCCATCTCTATATAAAACACTAAATCATGCCATAATAGTTATAACCTTACCTGCTCAGGTCTGTTCCTTCTCACCTGTCTCCATCTCTATATAAAACAATAACATATATAAAAAAGCTTATTGGATGTCATTATTTTTGTTACCTGTCCAGGTGGAGATCAGCCACCTGAAGGCCCGTCAAACTGGACTACAGGAAGAGCTCCAGAAGTTACAATCAGCTTCCTCCTGCTCAGCTCTACTTCCTGTCACCTCCGGCTCCACCACCACTACCTCTTCCTCCTACATGTCCCGCCCCCAGGGGAGCACCGTCCATCAAGGTTTCCATGGCAGCGATGAGATGGACTTCAGTGATGTGATCTGGTCCCAGCAGGAGATTAACCGTCTGTCTACAGAGGTGATGAGGCTGGAGGCTGAGGTCTCCCACTGGAGACGCGTGTCTCAGGTCGGTCGCTTCACAACACCATTTACTAGCTTGTAGAATCTTTATTACTGTAAGGTCTATAAAGGGTCATGTGAAGGTTGGAAAGGTCTCTAAATGTTTATTTGTTTCAGGCATCCAAAGCCCCAGGAGAAGGAAACGCTGACCAGGGAGAGGTCCTGAAGCTGCAGAGGATCATCAAGGTCAGAAATGTTACGGCCTGCTCTTTGGGTGCCTAGTCCGGGTTACTGTAAAGCACCTTGTTTATTACTGTTTATGTAAAAAGGGCTTTATAAATCAAATTTGATTGATTAATGGAAACCCTGCTTGGTGTAAGAGAGACTCAGACAGTGACTGTCGCTATGCCTCTGTCTGTGGAACAGGAGCTGCGTGAGGAGATGGGCCGTGAGATAGATGAACACCAGCGTGAGTTAGCAGGGCTGCAGGACGCACAGAGACAGAAGATGGCCGACATCACCCGGCGCCACCGGGACGAGCTGGCAGAGTACGAGGAGAGGATAGAGGAGCTGGAGGAACAGAAACATACTGGGGGTGAGGAGCTGGAGGAACAGAAACATACTGGGGGGGGAGGAGGAGAGGAGCTGGAGGATCAGAAACAGACTGGGGGGGGGAGGAGAGGAGCTGGAGGATCAGAAACAGACTGGGGGGAGGAGGAGAGGAGCTGGAGGATCAGAAACAGACTGGGGGGAGGAGGAGAGGAGCTGGAGGATCAGAAACAGACTGGGGGGAGGAGGAGAGGAGCTGGAGGATCAGAAACAGACTGGGGGGAGGAGGAGAGGAGCTGGAGGATCAGAAACAGACTGGGGGGGGAGGAGAGGAGTGGAGGATCAGAAACAGACTGGGGGGAGGAGGAGAGGAGCTGGAGGATCAGAAACAGACTGGGGGGGAGGAGAGAAGCTGGAGGATCAGAAACAGACTGGGGGGGGGGAGGAGCTGGAGGATCAGAAACAGACTGGGGGGGGGAGGAGCTGGAGGATCAGAAACAGACTGGGGGGGGAGGAGGAGAGGAGCTGGAGGAACAGAAACAGACTGGGGGGAGGAGAAGAGGAGCTGGAGGAACAGAAACAGACTGGGGGGGGAGGTTGAGAGGAGCTGGAGGATCAGAAACAGACTGGGGGGGAGGAGGAGAAGAGGAGCTGGAGGATCAGAAACAGACTGGGGGGGGAGGAGAGGAGCTGGAGGATCAGAAACAGACTGGGGGGAGGAGGAGAGGAGCTGGAGGATCAGAAACAGACGGGGGGGAGGACGGAGGAGGGGATAGAAACGACTGGGGAGGAGAGAGCTGGAGGATCAGAAACAGACTGGGGGAGGAGGAGAGGAGCTGGAGGATCAGAAACAGACTGGGGGGAGGAGGAGAGGAGCTGGAGGATCAGAAACAGACTGGGGGGGGAGAGGATGGAGAGGGGAGCTGGAGGGATCAGAAACAGACTGGGGGGGGAGGAGGAGGGAGCTGGAGGATCAGAAACAGACTGGGGGGAGGAGGAGAGGAGCTGGAGGATCAGAAACAGACTGGGGGGGAGGAGGAGAGGAGCTGGAGGATCAGAAACAGACTGGGGGGGAGGAGGGAGGAGAGAGGAGAGGACTGGAGGATCAGAAACAGACTGGGGGGAGGAGGAGGAGAGGAGCTGGAGGATCAGAAACAGACTGGGGGGAGGAGGAGAGGGAGAGGAGCTGGAGGATCGAGAAGAAACAGACTGGGGGGGGAGACTGGAGGATCAGAACAGACTGGGGGGAGGAGAGGAGCTGGAGGATCAGAAAACAGACTGGGGGGAGGAGGAGAGGAGCTGGAGGATCAGAAAACAGACTGGGGGGGGAGGGGAGAGGAGCTGGAGGATCAGAAGAAACAGACTGGGGGGAGGAGGAGAGGGAGCTGGAGGATCAGAAACAGACTGGGGGGGAGGAGGAGAGGAGCTGGAGGATCAGAAACAGACTGGGGGGGGGGAGAGGAGGAGGAGAGAGGAGGAGCTGGAGGATCAGAAACAGACTGGGGGGGAGGAGGGAGGATGAAGCTGGAGGACGAGGAAGCGGAGGACAGAAATGGGGGGGGGGGGAGGAGGAGAGCTGGGAGGATCAGAAAACAGACTGGGGGGGAGGAGAGAGGAGCTGGAGTCAGGAACGACGGAGGAGGGGGAGGACAGAACGATGGGGGGGGGGGAGAGGAGGGAGGATCAGGAAACAGACTGGGGGGAGAGAGGAGGAGGATCAGAAACAGACTGGGGGAGGAGATGGAGACAGAACATGGGGGGGAGGAGGAGAGGAGCTGGAGGATCAGAAACAGATGGGGCGGGGGGGGGGAGGAGCTGGAGGATCAGAAACAGACTGGGGGGAGGAGGGAGAGGGATCAGACAGTGGAGAGGAGTCAGAAACAGACTGGGGGGAGGAGGAGAGGAGCTGGAGGATCAGAAACAGACTGGGGGGAGGAGGAGAGGAGCTGGAGGATCAGAAACAGACTGGGGGGGGGGGAGGAGTGGAGGTCAGAACGACTGGGGGGAGGGAGGAGTGGAGGATCAGAAACAGACTGGGGGGGGAGGAGGAGAGGAGCTGGAGGATCAGAAACAGACTGGGGGGGAGGAAGGAGGAGGAGCTGGAGGATCAGAAACAGACTGGGGGGGGAGGAGAGGAGCTGGAGGACAGAAACAGACTGGGGGGAGGAGGAGAGGAGCTGGAGGATCAGAAACAGACTGGGGGGGGGAGGAGGTAGGAGAGGAAGGGAGTGGGATCAGAAAGACATGGGGAGGAGGAGGAGAGGAGCTGGAGGATCAGAAACGACTGGGGAGGAGGAGAGAGCTGGAGGATCAGAAACAGACTGGGGGGGGAGGAGGAGAGAGCTGGAGGATCAGAAACAGACTGGGGGGAGGAGGAGGAGGAGGAGCTGGAGGATCAGAAACAGACTGGGGGGAGGAGGAGAGGGAGCTGGAGGATCAGAAACAGACTGGGGGGAGGAGGAGAGGAGCTGGAGGATCAGAAACAGACTGGGGGGGGGGAGGAGGAGTGAGGATCAGAAAGACTGGGGAGGGAGAGAGGCTGGAGACAGAACAGACTGGGGGGGGAGGAGGAGAGGAGCTGGAGGATCAGAAACAGACTGGGGGGAGGAGGAGAGGAGCTGAGGTCAAACAATGGGGGAGGAGGAGATGGAGGGAGATCAGAAACAGACTGGGGGGGGAGGAGAGGATGGAGGACAGAAACAGACTGGGGGAGGAGGAGATGGAGTGGAGGATCAGAAAACAGACTGGGGGGGGGAGGAGGAGGAGAGGAGCTGGAGGATCAGAAACAGACTGGGGGGGAGGAGGAGAGGAGCTGGAGGATCAGAAAACAGACTGGGGGGGGAGGAGGAGAGGAGCTGGAGGATCAGAAACAGACTGGGGGGGAGGGAGGAGAGGAGCTGGAGGATCAGAAACAGACTGGGGGGGAGAGGAGGAGAGGAGCTGGAGGATCAGAAACAGACTGGGGGGGAGGAGGAGAGGAGCTGGAGGATCAGAAACAGACTGGGGGGAGGAGGAGAGGAGCTGGAGGATCAGAAACAGACTGGGGGAGGGAGGAGGAGCTGGAGGATCAGAAAACAGACTGGGGGAGAGGAGGAGAGGAGCTGGAGGATCAGAAACAGACTGGGGGGGGAGGAGGAGAGGAGCTGGAGGATCAGAAACAGACTGGGGGGGAGAGGAGGAGAGGAGCTGGAGGATCAGAAACAGACTGGGGGGGGAGGAGGAGGAGTGGAGGATAGAACGATGGGAGGGAGAGGCTGGAGGATCAGAAACAGACTGGGGGGAGGAGGAGAGGAGCTGGAGGATCAGAAACAGACTGGGGGGGAGGAGGAGAGGGCTGGAGGATCAGAAACAGACTGGGGGGGAGAGGAGGGAGAGAAGACTGGAGGAAGAGAATCAGAAACGACTGGGGGGAGGAGGGAGAGGAGGCTGGAGGACTGGAGGATCAGAAACAGACTGGGGGGAGGAGGAGAGGAGCTGGAGGATACAGAAACAGACTGGGGAGGAGAGAGGAAGGAGCTGGAGGATCAGAACAGACTGGGAGGACGAGGTCAAGGAGAGGAGCTGGAGGATCAGAAACAGACTGGGGGGAGGGGAGAGGAGCTGGAGGATCAGAAACAGACTGGGGGGAGGGAGAGGAGCTGGAGGATCAGAAGACAGACTGGGGGGAGGAGGAGAGAATCTGGAGGATCAGAAACAGACTGGGAGTGAGAGGAGGAGAGGATAATGGAGGATACATGAACAGACTGGGGGGAGGGATAGTAGCTGGTAGTGTCAGGAAACAGACTGGGGAGGACGAGGGACCTGCTGAGGATCAGAAACAGACTGGCGGGCAGGAGCTGAGGTAAAACCACTGGGGCGGGAAGGTTACTCGTGGCTTGCATCCCAAGTAACTATCTATTTTGCACATTTTGACCAGGTTCTAGGGAACGCAGCTTGTTACACTAGCTGGGTGAGGGTATTGTCAGCAGGTAAGCTAATCCTGAGCAATCAAACCTTCCTAAGGTACCCTTTGCCAGACAGCCATCATGGTAGGTGACTCAAGTGTCCAAAACGCACGGCTGGCCGGAGGTACTGGTCAAGTTCAGGGGTTGGATGTCACATCTGAACACATGGGGTGACGGAAACGGTGGCTGATCCAATGGTACTGTATACCTGTGGCTATTCAGGCATAGCATCATCCAGCTAGTATAACTGACGTCTTCAGGTGAGGTAAGACTATGGGATATGCTTACCTGGTTGTCAAACGCCGTTCCACAGGATGCTGGCCCATTGCTGACTCCGGTGGTTCCCACATTTGTGTGTCAAGTTTGCTGGATTGTTCTTTGGGGGTGGGTCGGACCTTCTTGATTACACCTGGAAACGGGGGTTTGAGCTGTTGAATAAAACCCAGCAGCTTGGCAGTTCTTGGACACTGTCCCAACTGGTTGTTCTAGCACCTTGCTACTCCTACCTGTTCAAAGGCACTTAAATCCTCTGAATGGCACACATACACAATCTATTTCTCAATTGTCTCAAGGCTTATAAATCATTTTGTTCACCTGTCTCCTCCCCTTCATGAAGATTAGAGTGGATTTAACACGTGACATCAATAAGGGATCATTGCTTTCACCTGGTCTGTCTGTCACGTGTCAAACTCATTCCACGGAGGGACGAGTGTCTGCAGGTTTTCACTCCTCCCTTGTACTTGACTGATGAAATAAGGTCAGTAACTAGTAAGGAACTCCCCTCACCTGGTTGTCCAGGTCTTAATTGAATGGAAAATCCCCAAACCTGCAGACACTAGGCCCTCCGTGGAATGAGTTTGACCCTGCTGGTCTATGTCAGGGACAGAGCAGGTGTTCTTAATGTTTTGTTCACTCAGTGTATAAACATGAATTCATTAGACGTGCTGTCAGCTTTTCAGATTTCCCAATTAGTTTTCCTTTTTTTGTGACTGATTTCTCTTCCCTTACCCCAGGTTACTCTCTCTCACATTCCCCTTACAAGTCCACCCTTACCCCAGGTTACTCTCTCTCACATTCCCCTTACAAGTCCACCCTTACCCCAGGTTACTCTCTCTCACATTCCCCTTACAAGTCCACCCTTACCCCAGGTTACTCTCTCTCACATTCCCCTTTACAAGTCCACCCTTACCCCAGGTTACTCTCTCTCACATTCCCCTTACATGTTCCTCTCTGTATCCTAACCCGTCCAGGGAACAGTCCAGCCAGCGTTACTCAGGACTCCTCCTCTAAGACCTCAGCCCAGGAGGCAGCGGAGGAGCAGGAGGAGAGACTGAAGGAGCTCACAGCCAGTCTGGAGGAGGCGTGGAGGAGGGAGGCTACACTGCAGCAGGAAAAGATGGAGGCGCAGGCTGAGAACGCTGAGCTGCTGGAGAACTCCACACGGCTGCAGACGTCCGTCACAGAGCTCCAGACGCGCGTCCAGCGACAGGAGGGGAAGGCCGGGAATGAGGCCCAGCTAGAGCAGGAGATACAGGGGGGGAAGGCCGGGAATGAGGCCCAGCTAGAGCAGGAGATACTGGGGCTGAGGGAAGCTCTCGCAGGTACGCACACCCACCCATTCAGATATCATCTTGGACATACTCAGGGTGTTAGCTATTAGTCAAAGCCCAGATCAAACTATTCTGTCATCTTTTCAAGGGGCAGAGAAGGAGATGTTGAGAATGAAGACTCTTGAGGTATTTATCCTGATCACATAGTGTCTTTGAAATAGTGTTGCAGTGTGTAGTAGTAGTAGTTGTGGTAGTAGTCTTTATCTATGACCGTCCTGCTGTAATGATTGTTTTCCATGAAACAGAGTGAACCAAAGACCGAGGCGGAACATGCAGACATTCTAGAACTCAACACCATCATTGGAACCCTGAGGAAAGAGAAGGAAATGGTGGAACAGGAGAAGGTGGGTTTCTGCTCTCAAATGGAAACTTAACTTAAGAGTTAGTCTGAGGTGATTTTTGCTTGCTAATGAGCCTCCAACACTGTCATCGTTTTGCAATCCACAATGCTAATTCTTAAACAAACTCCCATACGCTTTACATGACTTATATCAACTCTTGACACACTGAACAAACAGTAAGAATTTCCCTCAATGTGTACACGACATTAACACTGAATTAAAATATAAACGCAACACGCAACAATTTTACAGCTACAGTTCATATAATGAAATCAGTCAATTGAAATAAATAAATTAGGCCCTAATCTATGGATTTCACGTGAATGGGCAGGGGCGCAGCCATGGGTGTCTCTGGGAGGGCATAGGCCCACCCACTTGGGGGCCAGGCCCAGCCAGTCAGAATGAGTTTTTCCCTGCAGACAGAAATACTCCTCAGTTTCATCAGCTGTCCTCCGGGTGGCTGGTCTCAGACGATCCTGCAGGCGAAGAAGCCGGATGTGGAGGTCCTGGGCTGCCGTGGTTACACGTGGTCTGCGGTTGTGAGGCCGGTTGGATGTAATGCCAAATTCTCTAAAACGACGTTGGAGGCGGCTGATGGTAGAGAATTGAACATTCAATTCTCTGGCAACAGCTCTGGTGGACATTCCTGCTGTCAGCATGACAATTGCACACTCCCTCAAAACTTGAGACATCTGTGGCATTGTGTTGTTTGACAAAACTCCACGTTTTAACGTGGCCTTTTATTGTCCCCAGCACAAGGTCCACCTGTGTAATGATCATGCTGTTTAATCAGCTTCTTGATATGCCACACCTGTCAGGTAGATGGATTATCTTGACAAATGATAAAATGCTCACTAACAGGGATGTAAACAAATTTGTGCACATTTTAGAGAAATAAGCTTTTTGTGCGTATGGAACATTTCTGGGATCTTTTATTTCAGCTCATGAAACATGGGACCAACACTTTTACATATTGCGTTTATATTTTTGTTCAGTGTACATTAAACTGTGTTCACTTAACATTGTTACTTTCCTTTGAGAATCTAGATGTCTTGTACTATAATGTTGTGTTTGAGTTTCAGATGGATCATTTGATTATTCAAAAGAGGATTTATTAAGTTGGTTTGAGTTTATTAGGATCCCATTAGCTGTTGCTCATGCAGCAGCAACTCTTCCTGGGGTCCATGGATAATGATTGTGTGTTCAGATTTAGATTTATTTGTATTCTTTAGAAATGTTTTTTATTTTTATTTTATTTATATTTTTCAGATGAATCTACTGGAGAGACTTGCGTGTGCAGAGGACAGAGTGGAGTCAGACGTCCTTGACGGAGGAGAGTCCTCCTCAGAGCAGATCGCAGAGCTGAGGGCTGAGCTGGAGAAGAGAGAGCATGCCCTGAGAGACACCCAGGAGGAACGAGAGCAGATAGCAGAGCTGAGGGCTGAGCTGGAGAAGAGAGAGCATGCCCTGAGAGACACCCAGGAGGAACGAGACACACTCCTCGTCGAGCTGGAAGAACTCGACCGACAGAACACGGAAGCTACAAAGGTCTGGTTTGAACTTGTGCAGAACACACTGAGTTTTTAATCAACCAATCAATCAAATCAAACCTGTTGTAGTCCCCAACCGCTATTAGACTCAACTGGGTTTAGAACATTTTCGAAATAGAAAGGAAATGTTTAGAATATTTTTTAAGGTTGATCAGGTTGTGGTTTGCCTCTCACTTTTGTCTGACGCTATCAAACAAAAGTCTCTGTAAAACATTTTATATTAGTTAGACACGCAGGAAAGTAACACTTCCTAGATCTGGAACAGTGTCTACTAAAGTAGTGCACCATGCAGTAATATATTGGCCATGCATACGAAGGAGTGTGATAGTGTTGATATTGGGAAATACGTCTTGTTTTAGAACATGTTGAAAAAGAAAGACAATCAAGGATGACCTCATTTTAAAAAAAAATGATTGAACCCCCTTTACATCATTTAGACTTAGCGAAGACAGACCTATAAATGGTTCTTACCATGTTATTATTCTGTTATTGTGTCTCCATGCAGCATGTGATCTCATTGAAGGAGCAGCTCTCTGTTCAGCTGAAGGCGTCTGAGGCTGAGGTGGCCAGGCTGCAGTCTGAGCTCAGTACCGCCACCGACCAGAAGGGTGGCGCTACAAGAAGGACTACAGGCCCAGCAGGAGAAACTGAGCCAGAGTGCTTACACCCTGAACGACCTCCACATGGGCAAGCAGCAGCTGGAGGCCACCGTCAAGGAGTTGAAGGAGAAACTTGGACGCGCAGCAGCGAAGGGCAAAGAGGCGAGGATGGAGACCCAGGTGCTCCAGAGAATCGTACAGGAGAGGGAGGAGCAGCTGTCTGCTTCCCGGGCAGAGCTGTGTGAGGCTGGGGAGAGAGGGAGAGAATCCGGGGGGTCCAGAGAGGAGAAGGAGGATCTCAGGAGAGAGCTGGCTGAGATGAGGAGCTCCCAGGAGAAGGTGATGTCAGAAGATTACGAGTTGAAGATTGAGAACCGGAGGCTGAAGACAGAGGCTGAGCAGGCCCAGGGTAGGATAGAGGAGCTGGCCAGGCAGGTCAGGGAGGTCCAGGCCGCTCTCACCAGGACGGTCCTGGAGAAGGACAACCGCATCGAGGCTCTGAAGCTGGGTAAGAGCCAGCTGGAAGGGGAACTGGGACAGGCAGAGAGGGGCCTCCAGGAGCAGACCAGGCAGTACCAGCAGACCGTCGAGGAGCTGACCGCTGCCCGCTCCGTGGACGCCTCGGCACTGCAGGTCCACTGTTGTTTCACTATTGTTGTACTATCTTAATGTATCTATCTTCATTTCGTATTTGTCTGGAAATGTATTGTTTTTTTAAATCTTTTCACTTTTGTATTATTTCGTTAGCAAAGCACTTTGACAATGAACTGCATTTTTTGTAAGAAATGTGCCATATGCTTGATTTGATTTATTTTCAGACGGAGCATGAGAGGACGGTGAGGCTGAACCAGGAGAAGGACCTGGAGATCTCCCAGCTGAGCAGAGACGTGGAGCAGATGGCCTCCGACCACCGAGACACCAATGAGATGCTCTCCATCACCGTGGCCGGGCAGAAACAGCTGACAGACCTCCTCCAGGTCAGGCTAGAGTCCTCTATCTAACTCCGTGACAGACCTTTCGAACGTCTGTAGTTTATGAAATTGCACTTTATCCTGCCTACTTTGCTTGTAAATATCGTTTTTCTATCTGTTGTTTTTAAATTGGGATTTTGTTTGTATGAATTGTGTTTGCTGCTAAATTAATTGCCTCATTGAGGACGTTACAATGTTCTGAATGTGAATCTCCAGGAGAAGGACTCCTTCATGGAGAGCCTGAGGGCTAGCATGGCTGCCACCCAGAGGGAGATGGAGGCCGTGGTCCAGGCAGCCACAGAGGAGGCTGGGGCCCTGAGAGGAGCTCTGGACGAGAAGGACAAGCAGCTGGGAGGCATGAAGGAGGACAACAGCCACCTAAAGGTACGTCCACAACATGTATGACATGGGTGTAACGTGCAAATGTACTGTATGAGTAATGTACTGTATGAGTAATGTACTGTATGAGTAATGTACTGTATGAGTAATGTACTGTGGTACTGTGTGTCGAGGAATTGTTTTCCCTTGGGACATTAAAATGAACCCTATCCTATAAGGAGGAGATCGACCGTCTGAGGGACCAGCAGAGCAGATCCCAGCCCCCCGGCCTGGCCGAGCCACGCACCCTGGACATCATCACAGGTAACATATCCTTTTCCATCTGTTGTTTTAAATATGTATGTATTGGGTTTGCTGCCAAATGAACAGCCTTTATTGAGGACATTAACATTTTCTAAATGGGACTCTTAACCACAGAACTGGAGACGGAGATCACCCAGCTGAAGACCTCAGGAGGTGCCCTGGAAGAGGAGGTGCAGGCCCTGAGGAGGTGCATGGAGGAGCAGCGGGGTCACCTCCTCTCCTCCCAGCAGTCTGTCCAGGCGCAGCAGAATGAGTTGGATCAGGCCCATCAACGCCACGAGCAGAGCAGAGAGAACTACGATAGGCTGATCCACGCCAAGGACGAGGAGATTGGACGCCTGCAGCAGGAAGTAGATCACCTCGGCCACACCCATTCCTCCCAGGAACAGGAAGTGGTCATTCTCCAACAGGAAGACAAGACCCAGTCGTCCCTGAATAACAGGGAGAACGGCAATGAGAAATACGACCTGTCCAAGGTGGAGGTGGAGAGACTAGTGAAGGTAGTTCCTGTATTGATGTTATACTCAGCAGCAGATGATGATTCGTGATGATCTTGCCATTCATGATAATAAAGCTTATCTGATCTGAATTTGAAGGGCATTAAGGAGAAGGAGACGGAGATCAGCCAGCTGAATGAGAAGAACCTGAACCTCACCCGACAGCTGGACCAGCTGGTGGTCTCCAGTGAGGAGATGGGGAAGCTCAGCCAGATGGTCCTGCAGAAAGACCTGGAGATCCAGGCGCTGCACGCCCACGTTTCCCTGGGGGGGGGAGGAAACAACCAGGATGTGATATTCCTCCAGCAGCAGCTGCAGGCCTTCGCCGTGGAGAGAGAGCAGGTCAAAATCACAATCAACTTCATTCGACTTACTAGAGTTGCAAAAATCCGGGTGAATTTCCTAAAATGCCCAGATTTTTCCAGAAATCCCGATTTTGAAGGACTGATTTCCTGCTTATTCCCTCCTGATTCCAGGAATCTTCCAACCAGGAATTTTTGGGACAGTTACTGGAATTTTACAACATCAATAATAAGCCAAATGTACTTGACTTTATTTACCGTAGGTTCTGGCAGTGCTGAATGAGAAGACGAGGGAGAATAGCAAGCTGAGGGGGGACTACCAGCACGTCATGGACATTGTAGCAGGGAAGGAGGCTGTGCTCCTCAAGGTCCAGCAGGAGAACCAGAGGCTGTCCACCCTGTCTGACCCATCAGGGAGCCAGGAGATGTTCAGAGAGACCATCCAGAACCTGTCTCGGATCATCAGGTATTGTTTTGTAATATATATACAGTACCAGTCAAAAGTTTGGACACACCTACTCATTCAAGGGTATTTCTTAATTTTTTTAAAACTATTTTCTATATCGTAGAATAATAGTGAAGACATCAAAACTATGAAATAACACATATGGAATCATGTAGTAACCAAAAACGTGTTAAACAAATCAAAATATATTTTATATTTGAGATTCTTCAAATAGCCACCCTTTGCCTTGATGACGGCTTTGCACACTCTTAGCATTCTCTCAACCAGCTTCATGAGGTAGTCACCTGGAATGCATTTCAATTAACAGGTGTACCTTGTTAAAAGTTAATTTGTGGAGTTTCTTTCCTTCTTAATGCGTTTGAGCCAATCAGTTGTGTTGTGACAAGGTAGGGGGGTTATACAGAAGATAGCCCTATTTGGTAAAAGACCAAGTCCATATTATGGCAAGAACAGCTCCATTATTACTTTAAGACACAATTTCTTCAAGTGCAGTCACAAAAACCATCAAGCGCTATGATGAAACTGGCTCTCATGAGGACCGGCACAGGAAAGGAAGACCCAGAGTTACCTCTGCTGCAGAGGATAAGTTCATTAGAGTTATCAGCCTCAGAAATTGCAGTCCAAATAAATGCTTCACAGAGTTCAAGTAACAGACACATCTCAACATCAACTGTTCAGAGGAGACTGCGTGAATCAGGCCTTCATGGTCGAATTCCTGCAAAGAAACTACTACTAAAGGACACCAATAAGAAGAGACTTGCTTGCGCCAAGAAACACGAGCAATGGACATTCGACCTGTGGAAATCTGTCCTTTGGTCTGGAGTCCAAATTTGAGATTTTTGGTTCCAACCACCGTGTCTTTGTGAGACGCAGAGTAGGTGAACGGAGGATCTCTGCATGTGTATTTCCCACCATAAAGCTTGGAGGAAGAGGTTTTATGGTGTGGGGGTGCTTTGCTGGTGACACTGTATGTGATTTATTTAGAATTCAAGGCACACTTAACCAGCATGGCTACCATAGCATTCTGCAGTGATACGCCATCCCATCTGGTTTGGGCTTAGTGGGACTATAATTTGGTTTTCAACAGGACAATGATCCAACACACCTCCAGGCTGTGTAAGGGCTATTTTACCAAGAAGGAGAGAGATGGAGTGCTGCATCAGATGACCTGGCCTCCACAATCCCCCGACCTCAACCCAATTGGGATGATTTGGGATGAGTTGGACCGCAGAGTGAAGGAAAAGAAGCCAACAAGTGCTCAGCATATGTGGGAACTCCTTCAAGACTGTTGGAAAAGCATTCCAGGTGAAGCTGGTTGAGAGAATGCCAAGAGTGTGCAAAGCTGTCATCAAGGCAAAGGGTGGAGAATATATTTATATTTATATTATATTTGAAGAATCTCAAATATAAAATGTATTTTGATTTGTTTAACACCTTTTTGGTTACAACATGATTCCATATGTGTTATTTCATAGTTTTGATGTCTTCACTATTATTCTACAATGTAGAAAATAGTAAAAATAAAGAAAAACCCTTGAATGAGTAGGAGTGTCCAAACCTTTGTCTGGTACTGTAAATGGGGAGCCAGGCCCAGCCAATCAGAATGAGTTTTTCCCCACAAAAGGGCTTTATTACAGACAGAAATACTCCTCAGTTTCATCAGCTGTCCGGGTGGCTGGTCTCAGACAATCCCGTAGGTAAAGAAGCCGGATGTGGAGGTCCTGGGCTGGCGTGGTTACACGTGGTCTGGGGAGGTCCTGGGCTGGCGTGGTTACACGTAGTCTGCGGTTGTGAGGCCGGTTGGACGCGCTGCCAAATTCACTAAAATGACGTTGAGAGAAATACATTCTTTGTGCGTATGGACATTTCTGGGATCTTTTTTTTCCCAGCTCATGAAACATGGGAACAACACTTTACATGTTGCGTTTATTTGAAGGTATTTAAACGTTTTAATGACAGATTTAGGATAGATATTTAGATGTGGAGATGAAAGAGAGGGATACAGGCTGAACGGGGGATCGAACCGCTGCCTCCAGGGGCATATGTGGTCCGGGGCCGGCAGCACTACTGCTTGCCCCTGGCACGTGATCAGGTATTGTCAGGGTGTATTCTGCTGCCATGGTGACCAGGTATTGTCAGGGTGTATTCTGCTGCCATGGTGACCAGGTATTCCCACGGGGGGCCAGTATGAAAAATGTATGCACTCACTATCTGTAAGTCGCTCTGGATAAGAGCGTCTGCTAAATGACTAAAATGTAAAATGTAAATGTATTGTCATGGTGTATTCTGCTGCCATGGTGACCAGATATTGTCAGGGTGTATTCTGCTGCCATGGTGACTAGGTATTGTCAGGGTGTATTCTGCTGCCATGGTGACCAGGTATTGTCAGGGTGTATTTTGGTGCCGTGGTGACCAGGTATTGTCAGGGTGTATTCTGCTGCCATGGTGACCAGGTATTGTCAGGGTGTATTTTGGTGCCATGGTGACCAGGTGTTGTCAGGGTGTATTCTGCTGCCATGGTGACCAGGTATTGTCAGGGTGTATTCTGCTGCCGTGGTGACCAGGTATTGTCAGGGTGTATTCTGCTGCCATGGTGACCAGGTATTGTCAGGGTGTATTTTGGTGCCATGGTGACCAGGTATTGTCAGGGTGTATTCTGCTGCCATGGTGACCAGGTATTGTCAGGGTGTATTCTGCTGCCATGGTGACCAGGTATTGTCAGGGTGTATTTTGGTGCCATGGCTCTTTTGTAGTGTACTTTGATCTCAGGATTTTCGATGGGACTGCGCAAGTGCCGGTATTTCAGGTATTTCCATAAGGAGCAACATTGCGGGTGACCGGTATTGCGGTCTATCTGCTGCCATGGTACAGTATTGCAGGGTGTATTTGTGCATGTACCAGATGTGCAGTGGTATTGAATCCGTCCTTAGTCAGTGTTTTCTCTTTTTGCAGGGGTTTATTCTGCTGCATGTGACCATTGTCAGTGTTCTTGGTGCCTTGAAAGGTGCAGGTATTTATGGTGGTTGTAGTATTGTAGGGTGTATTCTGTGAATGGTCAGAGAGTAGAGGATTTGGTGGCCATGGTGACCCCGTATGTAGGTGTATACCCTGGTACCGGTATTGCAGGCGGTGTATTGCTGCCGGACCAGGTGTCAGGTATTCCATAACCAGTATTGAAGGATCTGCTGCAGTGGGACCAGGTATGTCAGGTATTTGGTGCCATGTGACAGGATAGCAGGGTAGTATTGCTAGCCATGTGACAGGTAAATGTAGAGGTGTATTTGTGACCATGGGCTGCAGGTATTAGATTAAGATATTAGATTGCGGACTTGACAGCGATTAAGATATTAATAGAAACAAGCAGCTTACCGTATAGCGATTCCTGAAAGCTAGCATGTCATAGCAATTGCATCATTGAATCCCGTCTAGATGCTTGTTCTTTTGCTTTATCCTGAAACGCAGGTGGTGATTAGAATAGGCAATACATTAAATGATGTAGTTGTATTATTAAATAGAGAAAGACATTGAGATCGACGCGCGACCCGAAGTGATACTGTCTACTGCAGCAGAAGTCCGAGTGTCAGCTCCAACCAGTTTGAAGAGCTGCTACAGGAGAGGGACACCTTGAAACAGCAGGTAAGATAAGATATTAGCATTACACTGAAACAGCAGGTAAATAAGATATTAGCATTACACTGAAACAGCAGGTAAGTAAGATATTAGCATTACACTGAAACAGCAGGTAAGATAAGATATTAGCATTACACTGAAACAGCAGGTAAGATAAGATATAAGCATTACACTGAAACAGCAGGTAAGATAAGATATTAGCATTACACTGAAACAGCAGGTAAGATAAGATATTAGCATTACACTGAAACAGCAGGTAAGATAAGATATTAGCATTACACTGAAACAGCAGGTAAGATAAGATATTAGCATTACACTGAAACAGCGGGTAAGATAAGATATTAGCATTACACTGAAACAGCAGGTAAGATAAGATATTAGCATTACACTGAAACAGCAGGTAAGGTAAGATATTAGCATTACACTGAAACAGCAGGTAAGATAAGATATTAGCATTACACTGAAACAGCAGGTAAGGTAAGATATTAGCATTACACTGAAACAGCAGGTAAGATAAGATATTAGCATTACACTGAAACAGCAGGTAAGGTAAGATATTAGCATTACACTGAAACAGCAGGTAAGATAAGACTTTAGCATTACACTGAAACAGCAGGTAAGATAAGATATTAGCATTACACTGAAACAGCAGGTAAGATAAGACTTTAGCATTACACTGAAACAGCAGGTTAGATAAGATATTAGCATTACACTGAAACAGCAGGTAAGATAAGATTTTAGCATTTTATTTTCTGTTTTTACAGAAATGTGCCTTGCTTCACAAAACAAGACAAACTCCTTACAGGACATTAAAACAACAGCAGACAATACAGAAAAGCTAAAAACACTATTCACATCACAGATCAGGAATCACATCACAGATCAGGAATCACATCACAGATCAGGAATCACATCACAGATCAGGAATCACATCACCCAGATCAGGAATCACATCACAGATCAGGAATCACATCTCACAGATCAGGAATCACATCACCCAGATCAGGAATCACATCACAGATCAGGAATCACATCACCCAGATCAGGAATCACATCACAGATCAGGAATCACATCACAGATCAGGAATCACATCACAGATCAGGAATCACTTTTTTAAAGTGCAGCAGTTCAGTGTATGATATGTGTGTGTTGTAATTTGTGTGTGTGTTGTAATGGATGTGTGTGTATTGTAGTGTGTGTATATGCTAAGACACAAGGTCTCTTTTACAGATGAGCGCTGTAATTTATAGTATTTTATTTATTTATAGTATGTGTAGTATTGTATTTATAGTATTGTACTGTATGTATTGCCGTTGTCCAGGTGAACAGTGTGTGAACCGAGGTGTGGGTGTGTATTGTAATTTCTAGGTGTGTATTGACTGGGTGTGTATTGTAATGTATCCAGGTGAAGAAGATGGAGGAGTGGAAGATGCAGGTGATCACCACGGTAAAGAACATGCAGCATGAATCAGCCCAGCTGGTAGAGGAACTCCACAAGTTACAGAGACAGGTAACCAGAATAATATATTAGAATAATGAATCATATGTAATATCATGATAATGAGTCTGCCCAGCTGGCAGAGGATCTACAGGTAACCATAATGATTACTGTTCTCTCTGCTACCACACGGTAAGCGGTACCGGAGCGCCACGTCTGGACCAAAAAGGCTCCTGAACAGCTTCTATCCCCAAGCCATAAGACTGCTGACCAGTTCATCAAATGGCCACCCGGACTATTTACATTGTGACCCCCCTTTTATTTAGTTTTTTTGCCCAGACTCTCTGGCACTGGCTCTATGCACACTCCCTGGACTCTACCCACACACTCCCTGGACTCTACCCACACACTCCCTGGACTCTACCCACACACTCCCTGGACTCTACCCACACACTCCCTGGACTCTACCCACACACTCCCTGGACTCTACCCACACACTCCCTGGACTCTACCACACACTCCTGGACTCTACCCACACACTCCCTGGACTCTACCCACACACTCCCTGGACTCTACCCACACACTCCCGGGACTCTACCCACACTCCCTGGACTCTACCCACACACTCCCTGGACTCTACCCACACACTCCCTGGACTCTACCCACACACTCCCTGGACTCTACCCCACACACTCCCTGGACTCTACCCACACACTCCCTGGACTCTACCCACACTCCCTGGACTCTACCCACACACTCCCTGGACTCTACCCACACACTCCCTGGACTCTACCCACACACTCCCTGGACTCTACCCACACACTCCCTGGACTCTACCCACACACCCCCTGGACTCTACCCACACACTCCCTGGACTCTACCCACACACTCCCTGGACTCTACCCACACACTCCCTGGACTCTACCCACACACTCCCTGGACTCTACCCACACACTCCCTGGACTCTACCCACACACTCCCTGGACTCTACCCCACACTCCCTGGACTCTACCCACACACTCCCTGGACTCTACCCACACACTCCCTGGACTCTACCCACACACTCCCTGGACTCTACCCACACACTCCCTGGACTCTACCCACACACTCCCTGGACTCTACCCACACACTCCCTGGACTCTACCCACACACTCCCTGGACTCTACCCACACACTCCCTGGACTCTACCCACACCACTCCCTGGACTCTACCCACACACTCCCTGGACTCTACCCACACACTCCCTGGACTCTACCACACACTCCCTGGACTCTACCCACCCCCACCACACTCCCTGGACTCTACCCACACACTCCCTGGACCTACCACACACTCCCTGGGACTCTACCCACACACTCCCTGGACTCTACCCACACACTCCCTGGACTCTACCCACACACTCCCTGGACTCTACCCACACACTCACACATACTACACTGACACTCCAACACACACACACACAAACACCCACATATTGACGCCACTCACACATAGACAGTCTTTCACACTCTTCCCATACGCTGCTGCTACTGTTTATTACCTGTCCTGATTGCCTAGTCACTTCACCCCTACCCACATGTACATCATTACCTCAACTACCTCAACTACCTGGTGCCCCCGCACATTGACTCAGTAGCGGTACTCCTTGTATATAGCCTCGTTATTGTTATTTTATTGTGTTACTATTTCCTTTTTATTTGCTAGTTATTGTTACATTTTATTTAGATAGCTTTTTAACTCTGTATTGTTGGGGTAGGGCTCGTAAGTAAGCGTTTCACATTAAAGTCTACACCTGTTGTCTTCGGCGCATGTGGCAAATACAGTGGGGGAAAAAAAGTATTTAGTCAGCCACCAATTGTGCAAGTTCTCCCACTTAAAAAGATGAGAGAGGCCTGTAATTTTCATCATAGGTACACGTCAACTATGACAGACAAATTGAGATTTTTTTTTCCAGAGAATCACATTGTAGGATTTTTTATGAATTTATTTGCAAATTATGGTGGAAAATAACTATTTGGTCACCTACAAACAAGCAAGATTTCTGGCTCTCACATACCTGTAACTTCTTCTTTAAGAGGCTCCTCTGTCCTCCACTCGTTACCTGTATTAATGGCACCTGTTTGAACTTGTTATCAGTATAAAAGACACCTGTCCACAACCTCAAACAGTCACACTCCAAACTCCACTATGGCCAAGACCAATGAGCTGTCAAAGGACACCAGAAACAAAATTGTAGACCTGCACCAGGCTGGGAAGACTGAATCTGCAATAGGTAAGCAGCTTGGTTTGAATAAATCAACTGTGGGAGCAATTATTAGGAAATGGAAGACATACAAGACCACTGATAATCTCCCTCGATTTGGGGCTCCACGCAAGATCTCACCCCGTGGGGTCAAAATGATCACAAGAACGGTGAGCAAAAATCCCAGAACCACACGGGGGGACCTAGTGAATGACCTGCAGAGAGCTGGGACCAAAGTAACAAAGCCTACCATCAGTAACACACTACGCCGCCAGGGACTCAAATCCTGCAGTGCAAGACGTGTCCCCCTGCTTAAGCCAGTACATGTCCAGGCCCGTCTGAAGTTTGCTAGAGTGCATTTGGATGATCCAGAAGAGGATTGGGAGAATGTCATATGGTCAGATGAAACCAAAATAGAACTTTTTGGTAAAAACTCAACTCGTCGTGTTTGGAGGACAAAGAATGCTGAGTTGCATCCAAAGAACACCATACCTACTGTGAAGCATGGGGGTGGAAACATCATGCTTTGGGGCTGTTTTTCTGCAAAGGGACCAGGACGACTGATCCGTGTAAAGGAAAGAATGAATGGGGCCATGTATCGTGAGATTTTGAGTGAAAACCTCCTTCCATCAGCAAGGGCATTGAAGATGAAACGTGGCTGGGTCTTTCAGCATAACAATGATCCCAAACACACCGCCCGGGCAACGAAGGAGTGGTTTCGTAAGAAGCATTTCAAGGTCCTGGAGTGGCCTAGCCAGTCTCCAGATCTCAACCCCATAGAAAATCTTTGGAGGGAGTTGAAAGTCCGTGTTGCCCAGCGACAGCCCCAAAACATCACTGCTCTAGAGGAGATCTGCATGGAGGAATGGGCCAAAATACCAGCAACAGTGTGTGAAAACTTTGTGAAGACTTACAGAAAACGTTTGACCTGTGTCATTGCCAACAAAGGGTATATAACAAAGTATTGAGAAACTTTTGTTATTGACCAAATACTTATTTTCCACCATAATTTGCAAATAAATTCAAAAAAATCCTACAATGTGATTCTCTGGAAAAAAAAATCTCAATTTGTCTGTCATAGTTGACGTGTACCTATGATGAAAATTACAGGCCTCTCTCATCTTTTTAAGTGGGAGAACTTGCACAATTGGTGGCTGACTAAATACTTTTTTCCCCCACTGTACATTTTAATTTGATTTTGATTTGATGTTGACTTTATTATCCCCATGGGGACATTTGGTTGAAATCCCAGACCTGGTGGGTTGTTTAAGTTGTCAGCAACCTGTCTGCCTAGTGAGCATAGCTAGTGAGCATAGCTAGACTCTAATAGGTACACCCATCTAGTACCGGGTCGGACCCCCTTTGCCTCCAGAACTGCCTGAATTCTTCGGGCATGGAAACACAAACACAATTGGTATCAAGGGACCTAACGTGTGCCAGGACAACATTCCCCACACCATTACACCACCGCCACCAGCCTGTACCGTTAACACCAGGCAGGATGGGGCAATGCCAAATCCTGACTCTGCCATCAGCATGACGCAATAAAAACCGGGATTCGTCGGACAAGGTGATGTTTTTCCAATCCTCAGTTGTCCAGTGTTGGAGATCACGTGGTGATCCCATGGGGCGGCGCACAATTGGCCCAGTGTCGTCCAGGGTAGGGGAGGGAATGGCCGCCAGGGATGTAGCTCAGTTGGTAGAGCATGGCGTTTGCAACGCCAGGGTTGTGGGTTCGTTTCCCACGGGGGGCCAGTATGAAAAAAAAATTAATGTATGCACTCACTAACTGTAAGTTGCTCTGGATAAGAGCGTCTGCTAAATGGCAAAAAATGTAAATGTATTCACTGGAGCCGCTTCTTGTTTTGTTTCTGAGATACTGGATCCGGTGCGCCTGGCACCGATGATCATACCACGCTCAAAGCCTCTTATGTCACACTTTTTGCACATTCTAACGTTCAATCAAACAGTAACTGGATGCCTGTCTGCCTGCTTTATATAGCAAGCCACGGCCACGTGACCCACTGTCTGTAGGAGCGATCCATTTTTGTGAACGGGGTGGTTGTACCAAATAAACTGGCCACTGACAATGAATACAGCAAGTATAGTAAAAATGCAAATGATGGGTGATTCATAATGATTCAACTGTACGCTATATACACTATACACATCAGCACTCTGTCAACTCCATGTGAAGTGTAAGCCAACCCGCTGGACCTACTAGTGATTTGTCATTCAGCAGCCTTATTGGGATTAATAATGTTTTGGCTCTAATCCTAGGTGGATGCTGACAACGACTGCACCTCTAATCTCTCCGTGGATTACGGCCGTCTGATCCACAGCTATGAGCAGAAGGAGAAGAAGCTAAGGAGTCTCAGTCACGAGCTAGCCAACGTCCAACAGACTGTCAGCCAGCTGAGCAGCACTAAAGATGTCCTCCTGGGGACACTGGACAGTGTGGCGCAGAGTCCTCAAGTCACCACACTGTCTGCTACTCTGATGTCTACTGCCCAGCCTCCTTCTGCAGTAGAACCTCCCAGACACCAGGTGGCAGCACCACCTCCAGGGAACCAGGAAGGACTGAGACAGGAGCTGGAGTCTCTGAGAGCCCTCCTGTCTGAGAGGGAGACTATGATCAGGACCCTGCAGGAGAACAACCACCGCCTGTCTAACTCAGCCCAGGCGTCAGAGAGCGAGCAGCGCGGCCAGGCCGACGAGGCCAGACGGGTCAGAGAGAGACTGGACGCTCTGCAGCGCTCTGTCAGGGAGAAAGACCTGCTCATCAAGACTAAAGGGGACCAACTCAACCAGGTTAGAGAGACGCACACATTCACCGACATACACGCATATGATACATGCTAGCACACACATACACACGTACACACACCGAGGAAGGCGCAAACGGTGCATACACACAGTGTGTGTGAACATTTTAATCTCAATGTAGTGTACGATTAAACCCTTGTTTGCCATGGGATCATTTCTCTTTTTAACCAGGTAAGTCTGATCTTCATTTCTCCAGGTGAGTGAGAACCTGAGGAACCGTGAGAGCGACAACGATGTGTTAAAACAAGCCGTGACCAACCTGAAGGAGCGAGCCCTCATCCTGGAGATGGATACCAGGAAGCTGAAGGTAGGTAGCCCAGGGGCTGGGTTCACATCCTAAAGACATTCCCCTGCCGTTGGGCCCTTGAGCAAGGCCCTTAACCCCACAACATGCTCTCCATCCAGGGGTGCTGCACTGCAGCTTGAACATCTGCTCGTATCAACTCGAGAACGGAGCAGAAGACACATTTCCCTTGTTGGCTGTAACATGGACAATAAAGTTGTGTTGTATTGAAGGATGAGAACGAGGCTGTGGCCCAGCGGAGCAGGGAGAAGGAGTCAGAGTTCAGAGCCCTGCAGGAGACCAACATGCAGGTGTCCCTCCTCATGAGGGAGAAGGAGTTCGAGAGGAGCGCCATGTCAGAGAAGGCTGCCGCCATGGAGAAGATGCTCAAGGACAGAGAACAGGTTATTAATCATTTACAGACCTTGTACATTATCAACTTGCAAAATATGGGAAAATGTCACTTTTTAAAATCAGTAGAGAAGGTGCTGAAGGACAGATGTTTGTAGATCCCACAGGGCGGCACACAATTGGCCCAGCGTCGTCCGGGTTTGGCCGAGGTAGGCCGTCACTGTAAATAAGAATTTGTTCATAACTGACTTGCCTGGTTAAATAAAGGTAAAATAAAAAAATAAAAAATAAATGTAGGTGAAAACCACAAAATCATTGAATGTATACTTTATGAATGATCATTTATTTTTATGAATGACGTCTGTTCCCAATATTTAGCATTAGTAATAGATAACATATCTAGTGAAGAATGACAGAGAAATGCAATCAAAGGAAAATAGGTTATTCAATAGTCTAAATACATTATTGGTTCAATCTTTTCAGTAACAGATTATTATAATGTTGTATTCTTTCCTGACCCCTTCCGTTGATCTGTTTCCCAGGGCAACAGTCAGAGGTCAGAGGAGCTGAACCAGCTGATTGATTGATTCCGTTGATCTGTTTCCCAGGGCAACAGTCAGAGGTCAGAGGAGCTGAACCAGCTGATTGATTGATTCCGTTGATCTGTTTCCCAGGGCAACAGTCAGAGGTCAGAGGAGCTGAACCAGCTGATTGATTGATTCCGTTGATCTGTTTCCCAGGGCAACAGTCAGAGGTCAGAGGAGCTGAACCAGCTGATTGATTGATTCCGTTGATCTGTTTCCCAGGGCAACAGTCAGAGGTCAGAGGAGCTGAACCAGCTGATTGATTGATTCCGTTGATCTGTTTCCCAGGGCAACAGCCAGAGGTCAGGGGAGCTGAACCAGCTTCTGAATGAGCTGAAGTCCATGCAGGGGAAAGCTGTGGCCTTCCAGCAGGAGAGAGACCAGGTCATGCTGGCACTCAAACAGAAACAGATGGAGACCACAGCTGTACAGACAGAGGTAGGATGGCTGGACACACACACACACACAGGTAGGATGGCTGGACACACACACACAGAGGTAGGATGGCTGGACACACACACACAGACAGGTAGGATGGCTGGACACACACACACAGACAGGTAGGATGGCTGGACACACACACACACACAGGTAGGATGGCTGGACACACACACACAGAGGTAGGATGGCTGGACACACACACACAGAGGTAGGATGGCTGGACACACACACAGACACGTACAGGCAGATGTAGGATGGCTGGACACACACACACACACACAGACACAGGTAGGATGGCTGGACACACACACAGACACGTACAGGCAGATGTAGGATGGCTGGACACACACACACACACACAGACACAGGTAGGATGGCTGGACACACACACACACACACACAGACACAGGTAGGATGGCTGGACACACACACACACACAGAGGTAGGATGGCTGGACACACACACACAGACACAGGTAGGATGGCTGGACACACACACACACAGAGGTAGGATGGCTGGACACACACACACAGAGGTAGGATGGCTGGACACACACACACAGACACACACAGAGGTAGGATGGCTGGACACACACACACACACAGAGGTAGGATGGCTGGACACACACACACAGACACAGACAGGTAGGATGGCTGGACACACACACAGACACGTACAGGCAGATGTAGGATGGCTGGACACACACACACACACACAGACAGGTAGGATGGCTGGACACACACACAGACACGTACAGACAGAGGTAGGATGGCTGGACACAGACGTACAGACAGAGGTAGGATGGCTGGACACAGACACAGTAGTCTGAGCACATACTCATATTATTTGCAGGATACCTATTGAGGAGATTGTAACACATTCATAACCCACACATAACCATTCATAACATACATAACCATTAATAACCCACACATAACCATTCATAACTCATACAAAACCATTAATAACCCACACATAACCATTCATAACCCATACATAACCATTCATAACCCATACATAACCATTCATAACCCATACATAACCGTTCATAACCCATACATAACCGTTCCTAACCCATACATGCTGAACGTTTTGTGATCAGATATATTTGTGGTTAAGCGGTTAGAGTAAGGGTTAATACAGTACATGGCAACCAAATCATATTCTTAGTAGACAATTCACTATTATTGGCAGGACTTGGACTGAAATATGTGCCGGTAGTCATGTTGGGTGCCGGTACTCATGTTGGGTGCCGGTACTCATGTTGGGTGCCGGTACTCATGTTGGGTGCCGGTACTCATGTTGGGTGCCGGTACTCATGTTGGGTGCCGGTACTCATGTTGGGTGCCGGTACTCATGTTGGGTGCCGGTACTCATGTTGGGTGCCGGTACTCATGTTGGGTGCCGGTACTCATGTTGGGTGCCGGTACTCATGTTGGGTGCCGGTACTCATGTTGGGTGCCGGTACTCATGTTGGGTGCCGGTACTCATGTTGGGTGCCGGTACTGTTTATATTCAGGTGCAGGACAGTGGTGGAAAAAAGTACCCAATTGTCATACTTGAGTAAACGTAAAGATACCTTTTAATAGAAAATGACTCAAGTAAAAGTGAAAGTCACCCAGTAAAATACTACTTGAGTAAAAGTCTAAAAGTATTTGGTTTTTAAATATACTGAAGTATCAAAAGTAAAAGTATAAAAGGAAGCATGTGTATTTAGTGAGTCCGCCAGATCATAGGCCGTAGTGTTGACCAGGGATGTTCTCTTGATAAGTGTGTGAATTGTAATATTTTCCTGTCTTGCTAAGCATTGAAAATGTAACGAGTACTTTTAGGTGTCAGGGGAGTATGGAGTAAAAAGTAAATAATTTACTTCAGGAATGTAGTGAAGTAAAAGTTGTCAAATATAAATGGTGAAGTACAGTACAGATACCCCCAAAAAACTCCTTAAGTAGTACTTTTAAAGTATTTTTACAAAATTACTTTACACCACTGGGTGCAGGAGCTCCACAGTACTGTTGAGCTAATATTCTATAAGAGGAACAGGAGCTCAAGCAGTAGAACCGAAACTCAGCTCCCAGGTCAAGATCTGGCACGTATCTGACTCCTCCCCCTGTCACTCGCTCTCTCAGCTGCAGCATGTGAAGGACCGAGAGCAGCGGCTGAAGTTGGAGCTGGATCGGCTGCGTAACCACCTGCTGGAGATAGAGGACTCCTACACGCGGGAGGCCCTCGCCGCCGAGGACAGGGAGGCGGAGCTACGTAGGAGAGTCACGCTATTGGACGACAGACTGGCTACTTCCTCCAGTCAGGTGGAGAGCACCAGGTAGGTGGAAAGGACATCCAAGTTGCTTGCTTAGCGAGTACTGTTTCCTCCTGATTCAGCTCATACCCGAGGCTCGAATTCAGGGCCTCTGCCTCGCAAACACACAGGAGCGCCACCGAAAAACAAGCAGTTGCAAGTGGAGACAGGCTGAGGAGTGAGTTTCACAGATCCCAATCTGCTACTTAGGCATTAGGGTTGGGGTCGATTCCATTTCAGTTTACTTCCTGAATTGACCGAATGTATCCCAATGGCCTGGAAACCGGTGGTGGGGATGTGTTTATCACTGCTGGTAGTTAACTCATAGATGGATAAATACTTAGACATTAGTCAATGGATATAATATGCTGGTGGATTCTACAGGCCTTGTGAAATAGGTATTCTGACCTCAATGGGCCAACCTGTTTTTAAATCAATGTTAAAATTAAGAAAATCTAGTTTTATGTGTTTAACATGCTAGTACTAATTGAGAAATATTGGCACCATGTGGTGGTCTCTGATAGAGGTGTATATAGTGGCACCATGTGGTGGTCTCTGATAGAGGTGTATATAGTGGCATGGGGTCTCATGAGGTGATATAGCGCCCATGTGGTGGTCTCTGATAGAGGTGTATATAGTGGCACCATGTGGTGGTCTCTGATAGAGGTGTATATAGTGGCACCATGTGGTGGTCTCTGATAGAGGTGTATATAGTGGCACCATGTGGTGGTCTCTGATAGAGGTGAATATAGTGGCACCATGTGGTGGTCTCTGATAGAGGTGAATATAGTGGCACCATGTGGTGGTCTCTGATAGAGGTGAATATAGCAGCACCATGTGGTGGTCTCTGATAGAGGTGTATATAGTGGCACCATGTGGTGGTCTCTGATAGAGGTGAAATATGGCACCATGTGGTGGTCTCTGATAGAGGTGTATATAGTGGCACCATGTGGTGGTCTCTGATAGAGGTGTATATAGTGGCACCATGTGGTGGTCTCTGATAGAGGTGAATATAGTGGCACCATGTGGTGGTCTCTGATAGAGGTGAATATAGCGGCACCATGTGGTGGTCTCTGATAGAGGTAATATAATAAGTGGCACCATGTGGTGGTCTTGTAGGGGATATAGTGGCACCATGTGGTGGTCTCTGATAGAGGTGAATATAGCAGCACCATGTGGTGGTCTCTGATAGAGGTGAATATAGTGGCACATCACCACCCCTCCACCTTTTCTCTGACTATCACATCTAAACATGTTGTAATTAGCAATGTCAATGTCCTTATCCATGATCGAATCATTTAAAGTCTCTGATAAAAACAAGAATGTCTGTGTTCGTGCCATGCATCCTGCTATCGATAAAGTCCATCTTTGACGTCATAATTCGCACATTTAAATGTAACAAACCCAGCCCTTTGCAAGACTTAAAAACAGCAGGGGTGTCCATATTTACCCTAACCAGGTTGTTATAAACTTCATCATTAAGTCAGGAGATTTCATAGGAATAGAAATCATGTTATCAAAGCTTGCCCCGATGGACCTGCGGCTGCATCTATTTGATGGCTGTTTAAATCCTATTGAAATGAAGACTGGGAGTCTGTAGATTTCCTTGACTTGACTAGAGTATTTAGCATCAGAAACAGTTTGATGTGTGATGATGGTTGGGATAACCTGGGTAGAGTGCTGGTTATATCCCAGTCAGATGGTTGGGATAACCTGGGTAGAGTGCAGGTTATATCCCAGTCAGATGGTTGGGATAACCTGGGTAGAGTGCAGGTTATATCCCAGTCAGATGGTTGGGATAACCTGGGTAGAGTGCAGGTATATCCCAGTCAGATGGTTGGGATAACCTGGGTAGAGTGCTGGTTATATCCAGTCAGATGGTTGGGATAACCTGGGTAGAGTGCAGGTTATATCCCAGTCAGATGGTTGGGATAACCTGGGTAGAGTGCTGGTTATATCCCAGTCAGATGGTTGGGATAACCTGGGTAGAGTGTGGGTTATATCCCAGTCAGATGGTTGGGATAACTGGGTAGAGTGCAGGTTATATCCCAGTCAGATGGTTGGGATAACCTGGGTAGAGTGCTGGTTATATCCCAGTCAGATGGTTGGGATAACCTGGGGTAGAGTGTGGGTTATATCCCAGTCAGATGGTTGGGATAACCTGGGTTAGAGTGCTGGTTATATCCCAGTCAGATGGTTGGGATAACCTGGGTAGAGTGCTGGTTATATCCCAGTCAGATGGTTGGGATAACCTGGGTAGAGTGTGGGTTATATCCCAGTCAGATGGTTGGGATAACCTGGGTAGAGTGCAGGTTATATCCCAGTCAGATGGTTGGGATAACCTGGGTAGAGTGTGGGTTATATCCCAGTCAGATGGTTGGGATAACCTGGGTAGAGTGCAGGTTATATCCCAGTCAGATGGTTGGGATAACCTGGGTAGAGTGCTGGTTATATCCCAGTCAGATGGTTGGGATAACCTGGGTAGAGTGCTGGTTATATCCCAGTCAGATGGTTGGGATAACCTGGGTAGAGTGCCGGTTATATCCCAGTCAGTTTCTCAGAGCAGCCTTAAAATGGCCCCGAGATAGTTTGGGTGAATTCCGTCTTCTTTGTAGAATCTTTTCTCTTCTCAAAAAGTTTCAAAGTTATCAATAAAGACAACATTGACAGAGTGAAATAGCATCTTTAAGCCAGACCTGAGTGTAGCAACCTACTGACTCATAGACCGTAAACCCACCGTCTCATCGTGGGTATGGGACCCGATATATAATGGGACGCTTGTTTAGGTAGTTCATTTTTGCAATTAGTTCCATGAAGGTCATTTTTGAAGCAGTTCAAGCGCTAGCCAACTTAGTGGCATGTAAATCCCACATGTACTATAACATGTATCCGTCTGTGGAGTTCGGCTTATGGCTTCAGGAAGTAGCGTAGTGATATCCTTTTACTTTTGCACCCGGATAGCATAGGGTTCTAATCCCTGGCAAGGAGATGTTCCTTACCATTGAGCTTCCAATGGTGAGCGCCGGTCGGATCCCCCCGGGCTACCGTATCTCCGATCAGGCGACAGGAGCCGTAGAAATCGGCTGGGGAGAAGGCCGCGGAGATCCCGATTGCCAGGGGGGAGAGTCGCCAGCCGCCCGGCACCCTGAACACGAGAGCCCATAGTGTAGGCGGTTGACGTCAACAACCCCCCCTATCGAATATTCAAAAAAGGATTGCAATAATGAGACGTATCCACCAATCAAAGAAAGGATAGGCGGGAGCTAGACAGCCTGCCGTGCCGCTTTGTGGACAACGACTCCCATTGTTAGGGCGGAGAGACGTGTATCTTGTCAGTATATCCATATTCTTTGGTAGAGGCTAGGGCCGTATGAAGCAGTGACCTGGAGTTATGACATCACCAGTTGGCCATTTTGTAGGTGAGTAACAAGGACTAGCTGGTAGCCATCTTGGGTTCCATAAAAACAATGAAGGGTCTACTCATCATAGCCTGGATGCTGTACCGTACCCAGAACTATGCGAAGCGGGTAGATAAACAGGTTATCTTACATGAGATTGCAGACAGAAGTAATCCTGACATATAACAACTAATGAAGCGTGTGTAAGCATGTACTAAGATGGCAACAGCAGCCTATAACATGTATACTGATTAAATAAACACCAAATGAACCCTAACCGGCAGTAAGTACACTCACATGGTTACACAGACTCACTAAACACCAGAAGAATGATTGTCCAGATGTGAGTTGATGTGAGTCCCATAGGGCGGCGCACAATTGGCCCAGCGTTGTCCGAGTTATTGGAGGGTTTGGCCGTCATTGTAAATAAGAATTTGTTCTTAACTGACTTGCCTAGTTAACTAAAGGTTAAATAAAATAAAATAATAAATGTTGGTTGAGGTGGAGGACAGGAGTTTCTAGAGGTTGTCTCAACCTGCCCTCCTGGAAACAACTAAAGAGTTCAGGGGCAGACTGGGGGTCTCCAACCCCAGGCTAGGCCACTGATTGGCTGACCGGGTCAGCTGACTCTGTTCCCTGGCAACCTGGTCCCTAACACACAGGTGTGAAGTGACCTTCTGCAGCAGGACAATAGACTGGCTGAGGTCGGGGGTTGGGAACCTAACTTAGCTGTAAAAGTCACAAAGTTTGTCTCTAATTCCCAGGGCCAGAAAGAGGGTTCTGAGTTGTACTCATGGGCAACTGTAAGGGTGTCCTACAATAATGATATATTTATTGTCTAATACCGTTCCTCCTTTCCAGCGTGTGAAGCCACCAGGCCAATAAAGTATTTTCTTCTTCTTCTTCTTCTTCTTCTTCTTCTTCTTCTTCTTCTTCTTCTTCTTCTTCTTCTTCTTCTTCCTCCTTTCGTAGTCACCAGGCGTCTCTGCAGGTGGAGTCCCTTCAGGAGCAGCTGAGTGGAACGGTGAGGCAGAGAGACGAGGCCCTGACCCAGCTCAGAGTAGCACAGGACCAGGTCAACCAGTACGCAGTGTCCCTGTCCAACCTCCAGATGGTGCTAGAGCACTTCCAGCAAGGCAAGACTACGTCTCCTGTCTTTCTCTCAAGGCCCATGTGCTTTAATGAAGGTGGATTATTCTTGTGTCAGCTCCAGCAAGTGGACTCCTTTCTTTTTACATCATGAACCTGGTGCTGTAATGATCATTCACCTGTGGGGTCCTCTGTAGCTCAGCTGGTAGAGCACGGCGCTTGTAACGCCAAGGTAGTGGGTTCGATCCCCGGGACCACCCATACACAAAAAAATGTATGCAGGCATGACTGTAAGTCGCTTTGGATAAAAGCGTCTGCTAAATGGCATATTATTATTATTATTATTATTAAAATCTCAGTTGAGGGGAATGCGGACGGAATCACAGAATCCAGACATTAAAACAGAATTCAACAATATAAAAATATGTATTGATCTTAGTAGGAAATCAACTAAATGTATTGAACTTATTAGAAAATCCATTAATTTATTATAAGACATGAACAAAATGCATCAGTGATTGGTATTTTCCTTCAGCTTTCTGAAGAGGCAACAGCACAGCAATGCCCCTGTCTGTGTGGCCGTTGGTCTACCACTTTGTGTAGCCGTTAGCAATGATGCTAATGTAATGACAACCGTCTTCTGGTAGATGGAAAGGCTTTCACAAAAACCTTCTCAATGAAAAGTACCCTATGCCTACCTAGCAGAATGATATCATAATTATTTGTATCAAACTCTGCAATCACATGAGCACTACTTAGAAATCTCTAACCGAACAATGGTCTCTGGCTGGTGCACAGTTGAATTAAAGGGTAACTACACCCCCCTCAGAAATGTATTAGATATTTCCCAAACCTCAAGAGGTCTCCTGATGGGGTGTAAGCATTGTTGTGTACTTAGAACATCACATTCTGTTGTTTTTAATATTTAAAAGTGTGATTTTGAGAGCGAAAACCTGAAACAAATGGGAAAAATGGATACCTGGAAAAACAAAATGGAATTTGGGAAAAAAACAGAATCTGGGGAAAACATTTAACAGATTTTATATCGACCTACTGAAGGCACCACTAACTCTCACGATAGGAAAATAGCTTGGTCTCAGGTCTGTTTGTGCTGTATGGTCGTAGTCAGGAGATGGCTTTCCCTATGTTTGTTGTATGGTCGTAGTCAGGAGATGGCTTTCCCTATGTTGTTGTATGGTCGTAGTCAGGGAGATGGCTTTCCCTATGTTGTTGTATGGTCGTAGTCAGGTGATGGCTTTCCCTATGTTGTTGTTTTGTCGTAGTCAGGACATGGCTTTCCCTATGTTGTTGTTGTATGGTCGTAGTCAGGAGATGGCTTTCCCTATGTTGTTGTATGGTCGTAGTCAGGAGATGGCTTTCCCTATGTTGTGGTATGGTCGTAGTCAGGTGATGGCTTTCCCTATGTTGTTGTTGTATGGTCGTAGTCAGGAGATGGCTTTCCCTATGTTGTTGTTGTATGGTCGTAGTCAGGAGATGGCTTTCCCTATGTTGTTGTTGTATGGTCGTAGTCAGGAGATGGCTTTCCCTATGTTGTTGTTGTATGGTCGGAGTCAGTGAGATGGGCTTTCCTATGTTGTTGTATTGGTCGTAGTCAGGAGATGGCTTTCCCTATTGGTTTGTTGTATGGTCGTAGTACAGGAAGATGGCTTTCCCTATGTGTTTGTTGTATGGTCGTAGGTCAGGAGATGGCTTTCCCTATGTTGTTTGTATGGTCGGAGTCAGGAGAATGGGCTTTCCCTATGGTTGTTGTTTGTATGGGTGCCGTAGTCAGGAGATGGCACTTTCCCATTTGTTGTTGTATGGTGCCGTAGTCAGGAGATGGCTGTCCCTATGTTGTTGTATGGTCGTAGTCCGGAGAATGGCTTTCCCTATGTTGGTTGTTGTATGGTCGTAGTCAGTGAGTAATGGCTTTCCCTATGTTGTTTGTTGTATGGGTCCGGAGTTCAGGAAATGGCTTTCCCTATGTTGGTTGTTGTATGGTCGTAGTCAGGATGATGGCTTTCCCCCTATGTTGTTGTGAATGGTCGTAGTCAGGAGATGGCTTTCCCTATGTTTGTTGTGATGGGGGTAGTCAGGGGAAGGCTTTCCATGTTGTTGTATGGTTTAGTCGGAGATGGCTTTCCCTATTTTGGGTTTTTGTATGGTCGTAGCAGGAAGGCCCCTATGTTTTTTGTATGGTCGTAGTCAGGTGATGGAAACCCCATGTTGTTTTTGGGCGTAGTAGGAAGTGGCTTTTCCCCATGTTGTTGTTGGTCGTAGTCAGGAGATGGCTTTTCCCCCGTTGGGATGGTGTAGTCAGGTGAGGGGTTTTTCCCCATGTTTTTGAGGGGCGTAGTAAGGAGATGTCTTTCCCTATGTTGTGGTATGGTGTATAGGAGGGGGTTTCCCTTGTGTTTTTGTAGGTCGTAGTCGGGTGGCTTTTTCCATGTTGTTATGGTCGTGTCAGGGTGGCTTTCCCATGTTGTTGTATGGTCGTGGCAGGGATGGCCCAACCTTCAGCAAAAAATTTTAAAAAGTCTCTTTCTCTGTCATCCTTGTAGAGGAGAAGCGATGTATCATTGAGCTTGATAAGTACAAGAGGGAGAAGGATGAGTGGAGAAAAAAATCTCTTCAACTGGAGGACAGAGCCTCCTCTCTTCAGGTAGGACTCATTTTAGCAGTGCTCTTTCCCAAACGCTTACAGTTAGTGGGATACATTTTTCTTATTTTTTCCCCAAAAAAAACCCCCCCCCCCCCCCCCCCCCCGGCCCCCGGGGGCCCCTTACCCGGGGCCCCCCGCCCCAACCCAAAAAAACCCCCCCTTTTTTTCCCCCCCCCCAAAAAAAAAAAAAATTTTTTAAATCTTCTTCTTTTTTTTTTTTTCTTTTTTCTTTTTTTTTTCTCTTTCTCTCGTCCTCTGTTTCTTTTTGTTTTCGTCTCATCTCTGCTCTTCTCTCGTCTCTCCTTCGCTCTTTTACACACACAAAACTCTCCTCTCTCCCTTCACACTCTCTCTCCCTCTTCTCTCTTCTTTCTTGTCCTTTTTTCCTTTGTCTTTTTTTCTTTCTTGTCTCTTCTCTGGGCTCTTTTTTTTGTCTCTCTCTTTTTCATCTCTGTCCTCCCCTCCTCTCTCTCCTTTTTCACCTCTCTCTCTCTTCCTTCCCCTTTTTTCTTTCCCCTTTTTCTCTCTTCTGTCTTCTGTCCTTTGTTCTCTCTCTTCTTCTCTCTCTTTATCTCTTCTTTTCTCTTGTTTTGTCCTCTTTTTGGTCTCTCTTTTCTACTCTCGGTCTTCTCTCTCGCTCCCATCCTCTTTCTCTCCTTAAAACAAACACCCTCTCTCTCTCTCTCTCTCTCTCTCCTCCTCTCTCTCTTTCTCCTCTCTCTCTCTTTAACAACCCCTTTTCTCTCTCTCTCTCTCTCGTCTCTTTTTCTTGTCTCTCTGTTTGTCTCTTCTCTCTCTCTCTTCTCTCTCTCTTCTCTACTTCTCTCTTTTCTCCCCTCTTTCCCCCTCTCCTTTTCTCGTCTCTTTCCTTTTGTTCTTTTGTCTACTCTCTGTCTCCCTTCCCTTCTCTTTTCACCACCACCCCCCTTCCCCTCTCCTCTCTCTTTCTCTCCCTTTTTCTCGTTCTCTGTCTCTTTGGGTTTTCTTTTTCTGTTTTTCCTTCTGTCTCACCCCCCCGGGGGGGCCCCCCCAAAACCCCCCCCCCCCCCCGGGGCCCCCCCCAAAAAAAAAAAAAGAAAAAACCCCCCCCCAAAAAAAAAATTTTTAACCCCCCCCGGGGGTTTTTTTGGGGTTTTGGGGGGGGGGGGGGGGGGGTTTTTTTTTTTTTTTTTTTTTCCCCGTTTTTTTCCCCCTCCCCCTTTTTCCCCTTTCTCTCTTCTTTTCCTCTCTTCCCCTCCTTTTCTCTTTTCCCCCCCCCTTTTCTCCCTCTCTCTTTAACAACAAACAAACCCCCCACCCCGATTTCTCCCCTTTTAAATTTTGGCAAACACATTTTTAAATAAAACCAGGGGTTTTCTTTTGGGGCCCTAGCCACTCTCTCGCTCTCTCTCGTCTCTACTCTCTCTCTCTCCCTGCTCTGTCTCTCTGTCTCTCTTCTCTCTGTCTCTCTGTCTCACTCTGTCTCCTCCTGTCTCCGTCCCGCTAGCACTCTCCCTCCTCGTCTCTTCGCCTCCATCTCTCTTCTCTCATCTCTATCTCTCCTCTTTCTTCTTCTTTGTCTCTCTCTGTCTCTCTGTCTCTCTGTCTCCTTGTCTCTCTCTGTCTCTCGCTCTCACTAACTTCTTCTCTCTCGCTTCTCTACATGCGTCTCTGAATCAACACTCTCTGTCTTCTCTCTCGTCTCTCAAACCTGACAATCCGTTCACCTCTCTTCTCGTCTACGCTCGTCTTCTGCTCTCAGCTCTCTTTGTCTAGCTCATGTCTCTGTTCGGCGCTCTGCTCTGGCGTCTCTTCTCTTCTCCTATCATCTCTCCGTCTCCGCCGTCTAATAGGCTCGCTCTCTGAATATTCGTCATCTCTCTCTCTCTGCCTCTCTCTCTCTCTCCTCTCTCCTCTCTCTCTCCTCTCTCTCCTCTCTCTCTCTTCTTTCACACACACACACACACTCTCTCTCTCTCTCTCTCTCTCTCTCAGATCAACCTAGATGAGGCTAATGCTGCTCTGGCCTCAGCCTCCAGACTTTCTGACCAGCTGGACCTGAGGGAGGAACAACTAGAAGAGCTCAAGAAACAAGGTGAGGGGGGTCAGGTCCTCATCTCTCTGCCTCATCTCTCTGCCTCATCTCTCTGCCTCACCTCTCTGCCTCACCGTTCTGCCTCACCTCTCTGCCTCATCTCTATGCCTCACCGTTCTGCCTCACCGTTCTGCTCAGCCGCTCCTGGAGAGAGATTTCAAGTGTTATTGTCACGTTCACAAGTACAGTGAAATGCCTTTCTTGCAATCTCTTTCCCAACAATGCAGTATTCAATATCAGTAGTATTAAATGTCAGGTTGACTTTATCTTGCTATAAAGTCAGGATGAGTAAGGGGCCTGTGCCACAGGCAGGTAGGAGTTTTGACCCTGCTGGTCATGTTCCAGGACAGTTGTTCCTGTCCTCTCTGGGTTTCACCCTAGGTTCCTCTCTGGGTTTCACTCTAGGTTCCTCTCTGGGTTTCATCCTAGGTTCCTCTCTGGGTTTCACCCTAGGTTCCTCTCTGGGTTTCACCCTAGGTTCCTCTCTGGGTTTCATCCTAGGTTCCTCTCTGGGTTTCATCCTAGGTTCCTCTCTGGGTTTCATCCTAGGTTCCTCTCTGGGTTTCATCCTAGGTTCCTCTCTGGGTTTCTTCCAAGGTTCTTGCCTTTCTAGGAAGTTTTCCTAGCCACCGTGCTTCTACATCTGCATTGCTTGCTGTTTAGGGTTTTAGGCTGGGTTTCTGTATAAGCACTTTGTGACATCTGCTGATGTAAAAAGGGCTTTATAAATACATTTGATTGATTTGGTTGATTGTCTTAGGCTCAGACTTTATACAGTGGGCAGGGCTTTGGGATTGGTCCTCTGATCACTCTTTATAAAGCTCATAGATCCAACCCCGGGTCACTCTTTATGAAGCTCATAGATCCAACCCCGGGTCACTCTTTATAAAGCTCATAGATCCAACCCCGGGTCACTCTTTATAAAGCTCATAGATCCAACCCCGGGTCACTCTTTATAAAGCTCATAGATCCAACCCCGGGTCACTCTTTATAAAGCTCATAGATCCAACCCCGGGTCACTCTTTATGAAGCTCATAGATCCAACCCCGGGTCACTCTTTATAAAGCTCATAGATCCAACCCCGGGTCACTCTTTATAAAGCTCATAGATCCAACCCCGGGTCACTCTTTATAAAGCTCATAGATCCAACCCCGGGTCACTCTTTATAAAGCTCATAGATCCAACCCCGGGTCACTCTTTATGAAGCTCATAGATCCAACCCCGGGTCACTCTTTATAAAGCTCATAGATCCAACCCCGGGTCACTCTTTATAAAGCTCATAGATCCAACCCCGGGTCACTCTTTATAAAGCTCATAGATCCAACCCCGGGTCACTCTTTATAAGGCTCATAGATCCAACCCCGGATCACTCTTTATAAAGCTCATAGATCCAACCCCGGGTCACTCTTTATAAAGCTCATAGATCCAACCCCGGGTCACTCTTTATAAAGCTCATAGATCCAACCCCGGGTCACTCTTTATAAAGCTCATAGATCCAACCCCGGGTCACTCTTTATAAAGCTCATAGATCCAACCCCGGGTCACTTTCTTCACATTCATAAGGGTGCAGTTTTGAATAATGTTGTATCTGGCTATATCCTGAAACATTATGAATAATGTTGTATCTGCCTATATCCTGAAACATTATGAAGCTTACAATATAATAAATAGTAGAAACAATCTTTGCTCTGATTACACATTGTCTTCACGGTGCTATAATGAAACAGTCATTGTCTTCACTGTGCTATAATGAAACAGTCATTGTCTTCACTGTGCTATAATGAAACAGTCATTGTCTTCACTGTGCTATAATGAAACAGTCATTGTCTTCACGGTGCTATAATGAAACAGTCATTGTCTTCACTGTGCTATAATGAAACAGTCATTGTCTTCACGGTGCTATAATGAAACAGTCATTGTCTTCACGGTGCTATAATGAAACAGTCATTGTCTTCACTGTGCTATAATGAAACAGTCATTGTCTTCACGGTGCTATAATGAAAAGGTGGGGATAATGAAACAGTCATTGTCTTCACGGTGCTATAATGAAACAGTCATTGTCTTCACGGTGCTATAATGAAACAGTCATTGTCTTCACGGTGCTATAATGAAACAGTCATTGTCTTCACGGTGCTATAATGAAACAGTCATTGTCTTCACGGTGCTATAATGAAACAGTCATTGGCTTCACGGTGCTATAATGAAACAGTCATTGTCTTCACGGTGCTATAATGAAACAGTCATTGTCTTCACGGTGCTATAATGAAACAGTCATTGTCTTCACGGTGCTATAATGAAACAGTCATTGTCTTCACGGTGCTATAATGAAACAGTCATTGTCTTCACGGTGCTATAATGAAACAGTCATTGTCTTCACGGTGCTATAATGAAACAGTCATTGTCTTCACGGTGCTATAATGAAACAGTCATTGTCTTCACGGTGCTATAATGAAACAGTCATTGTCTTCACGGTGCTATAATGAAACAGTCATTGTCTTCACGGTGGCTATAATGAAACAGTCATTGTCTTCACGGTGCTATAATAAACAGTCATTGTTTCACGGTGCTATAATGAAACAGTCATTGTTTCACGGTGCTATAATGAAACAGTCATCGTCTTCACGGTGCTATAATGAAACAGTCATTGTCTTCACGGTGCTATAATGAAACAGTCATTGTCTTCACGGTGCTATAATGAAAGTAATTGTCTCCTAACCCTACATGTGTCTGTAATCAGCTGATTTATGTCTGGATCAAAGACCTGTCCCCCTCCCCACCTCCTGCTGTAGCTGGAGATGTTCTGGGTGATATGCATTCCTGTTCCCTGCCCTGCTGTCTCCTGACAGTCTGTACATTTCATACCTGTTCTCATTGCCAAGTTTCTCTTTGAACACTGGTCTGCTTTTTCCATTCTCTCTTCAGTAGCTGGAGCTATGCTTTTCTTGAGTCTCAAATGGCACCCTATTCCCTATGTAGTGCCCTACTTTTAACCAGAGCCCTATGGGGAATAGGGTGCCAGTCTTTGTGCCAGGTTCCCCAGTCTAAGCTCAATGCCTAGCCAGTGTATTCTGGTCAAATACAGTGCCCTATGTAGGAAATGGGGTGCAATTACATTTGGGATGCAGCAGGTGATAGAACTTAAAGTGACTGTCCAGTGTTTCCAGATTTCTATGAAATATGACCTACAGGCCTCCCGAGGGGCGCAGCAGTCTAAGGCACTGCATCACAGTGCTTGAGGCGTCACTACAGACCCGGGTTCGATCCCAGGCTGTGTCACAACCGACCGTGACCGGGAGACCAATGAGGCACACAATTGGCCCAGCGTCGTCCGGGTTAGGGGAGGGTTTGGCCGGGGGGGGCTTTACTCCGCTCATTGCGCTTTAGCGTCACTTGAACTGTGATTCCTCCGACACATTGGTGCAGCTGGCTTCCGGGTTAAGCAGGCGGGTGTTAAGAAGCGCGGTTTGGCGGGTCATGTTTCGGAGGACGCATGACTCGACCTTCGCCTCTACCGAGCCCGTTGGGGAGTTTGCATTGATGAGACAAGATCGCAACAGGGGAGGAAAAAGAGGAAGAAGAAGAAATATGACTTACACCTCCAGGCTGATTTAAGGGCTATTTGACCAAGAAGGAGAGTGATGGAGCGCTGCATCAGATGACCTGGCCTCCACAATCCCCCGACCTCATCCAAATTGAGTTGGTTTGGGTTGAGTCGGACCGCAGAGGGAAGGAAAAGCAGCCAACAAGTGCTCAGCATATGTGGGAACTCCTTCAAGTCTGTTGGAAAAGCATTCCAGGTGAAGCTGGTTGAGAGAATGCCAAGAGTGTGCAAAGCTGTCATCAAAGCTATTTGAAGAATCTCAAATATAAAATATATTTTTGTTTGTTTAACACTGTTTTTGGTTACTACATGATTCCATATGTGTTATTTCATAGTTGTGATGTCTTCACTATTATTCTACAATGTAGAAAATAGTAAAAATAAAGAAAAACCCTTGAATGAGTAGGTGTTCTAAAACTTTTGACCGGTAGTGTAGTTTTATTTCCCAAAAATGCTAATTATGTATGTTAAAAAGGAGCTTTTCTGTTTTGGAATGGTGTGTGCGTACCCCAACAACAGTGGTGTGGGCAAATTACGGTCATTAAAAATATTAATGCAGTAGAACGCTGATTGGCCAGCTCATCCTCCTCTAGACCGCTGATTGGCCAGCTCATCCTCCTCTAGACCGCTGATTGGCCAGCTCATCCTCCTCTAGACCGCTGATTGGCCAGCTCATCCTCCTCTAGACCGCTGATTTGCCAGCTCATCCTCCTCTAGACCGCTGATTGGCCAGCTCATCCTCCTCTAGGTCGCTGATTGGTCAGCTCATCCTCTGTTGGCCAGCTCATTCCTCATACTGTTTTTTCTCTCCAATTGATGCTTTAGCCACATGTAGGATGAGTCAACAACATTATTTGGGTATGAGTTAACAGAATATTAACTTTTAAAAGTGAGATTTTCACTCGACAGTTACTTTTAAGGCCGTCCAGGCTAGTAGACTGCAATTCTTACTAGCCCAGGTCCAAAATCTGCTATGCAGTATTGGAAAATACCTAATTCTCAAATAACATACATAGAATAAATCACATTACTATAGTTACAGTACTCAACAAAATAAATATAATAAATCACATTACTATAGTAACAGTACTCAACAAAATAAATAGAATAAATCACATTACTATAGTAACAGTACTCAACAAAATAAATAGAATAAATCACATTACTATAGTAACAGTACTCAACAAAATAAATAGAATAAATCACATTACTATAGTAACAGTACTCAACAAAATAAATATAATAAATCACATTACTATAGTAACAGTACTCAACAAAATAAATATACAGTGGGGAAAAAAAGTATTTAGTCAGCCACCAATTGTGCAAGTTCTCCCACTTAAAAAGATGAGAGAGGCCTGTAATTTTCATCATAGGTACACGTCAACTATGACAGACAAAATGAGAAAAAAAAATCCAGAAAACCACATTGTAGGATTTTTTATGAATTTATTTGCAAATTATGGTGGAAAATAAGTATTTGGTCAATAACAAAAGTTTCTCAATACTTTGTAATATACCCTTTGTTTGCAATGACACAGGTCAAACGTTTTCTGTAAGTCTTCACAAGGTTTTCACACACTGTTGCTGGTATTTTGGCCCATTCCTCCATGCAGATCTCCTCTAGAGCAGTGATGTTTTGGGGCTGTCGCTGGGCAACACGGACTTTCAACTCCCTCCAAAGATTTTCTATGGGGTTGCGATCTGGAGACTGGCTAGACCACTCCAGGACCTTGAAATGCTTCTTACGAAGCCACTCATTTGTTGCCCGGGCGGTGTGTTTGGGATCATTGCTGATGGAAGGAGGTTTTCACTCAAAATCTCACGATACATGGCCCCATTCATTCTTTCCTTTACACGGATCAGTCGTCCTGGTCCCTTTGCAGAAAAACAGCCCCAAAGCATGATGTTTCCACCCCCATGCTTCACAGTAGGTATGGTGTTCTTTGGATGCAACTCATCATTCTTTGTCCTCCAAACACGACGAGTTGAGTTTTTACCAAAAAGTTATATTTTGGTTTCATCTGACCATATGACATTCTCCCAATCCTCTTCTGGATCATCCAAATGCACTCTAGCAAACTTCAGACGGGCCTGGACATGTACTGGCTTAAGCAGGGGGACACGTCTGGCACTGCAGGATTTGAGTCCCTGGCGGCGTAGTGTGTTACTGATGGTAGGCTTTGTTACTTTGGTCCCAGCTCTCTGCAGGTCATTCACTAGGTCCCCCCGTGTGGTTCTGGGATTTTTGCTCACCGTTCTTGTGATCATTTTGACCCCACGGGGTGAGATCTTGCGTGGAGCCCCAGATCGAGGGAGATTATCAGTGGTCTTGTATGTCTTCCATTTCCTAATAATTGCTCCCACCGTTGATTTATTCAAACCAAGCTGCTTACCTATTGCAGATTCAGTCTTCCCAGCCTGGTGCAGGTCTACAATTTTGTTTCTGGTGTCCTTTGACAGCTCTTTGGTCTTGGCCATAGTGGAGTTTGGAGTGTGACTGTTTGAGGTTGTGGACAGGTGTCTTTTATACTGATAACAAGTTAAAACAGGTGCCATTAATACAGGTAACGAGTGGAGGACAGAGGAGCCTCTTAAATAAGAAGTTACAGGTCTGTGAGAGCCAGAAATCTTGCTTGTTTGTAGGTGACCAAATACTTATTTTCCACCATTATTATTTTATTGGTATTATTATTATTTTCCATCATGGATGACGGATCACCACCTCAAGCTGAACCTTGGCAAGACGGAGCTGCTCTTCCTCCCGGGGAAGGACTGCCTGTTCCATGATCTTGCCATTACGGTTGACAACTCCGTTGTGTCCTCCTCCCAGAGTGTGAAGAGCCTTGGCGTGACCCTGGACAACACCCTGTCGTTCTCCGCTAACATCAAGGCGGTGACCCGATCCTGTAGGTTCATGCTCTACAACATTCGGAGAGTACGACCCTGCCTTACACAGGACGCGGCACAGGTCCTAATCCAGGCACTTGTCATCTCCCGTCTGGATTACTGCAACTCGCTGTTGGCTGGGCTCCCTGCCTGTGCCATTAAACCCCTACAACTCATCCAGAATGCCGCAGCCCGTCTGGTGTTCAACCTTCCCAAGTTCTCTCACGTCACCCCGCTCCTCCGCACACTCCACTGGCTTCCAGTTGAAGCTCGCATCTGCTACAAGACCATGGTGCTTGCCTACGGAGCTGTGAGGGGAACGGCACCTCCGTACCTTCAGGCTCTGATCAGTCCCTACACCCAAACGAGGGCATTGCGTTCATCCACCTCTGGCCTGCTGGCTCCCCTACCTCTGCGGAAGCATAGTTCCCGCTCAGCCCAGTCAAAACTGTTCGCTGCTCTGGCACCCCAATGGTGGAACAAGCTCCCTCACGACGCCAGGACAGCGGAGTCACTCACCACCTTCCGGAGACATTTGAAACCCCACCTCTTTAAGGAATACCTGGGATAGGATAAAGTAATCCTTCTACCCCCCCCAAAAATAAGAATTAAAAAATTAAAAAATTGTAAAGTGGTGATCCCACTGGCTATAAGGTGAATGCACCTATTTGTAAGTCGCTCTGGATAAGAGCGTCTGCTAAATGACGTAAATGTAAATGTAAATGTAAATGTAAATAATTTGCAAATAAATTCATTAAAAATCCTACAATGTGATTTTCTGGAGAAAAAAAATCTCAATTTGTCTGTCATAGTTGACGTGTACCTATGATGAAAATTACAGGCCTCTCTCATCTTTTTAAGTGGGAGAACTTGCACAATTGGTGGCTGACTAAATACTTTTTTCCCCACTGTAATAAATCACATTACTATAGTTACAGTATTAACACTACAGGAATCTATCCCCCAGGGGTAGAGTTTCCCACATCAGTCTGCATTCCCAGACACACACACACACACACACACACACACACACACACACACACACACACACAGATTTTGTTATCAGCTGCAGACATGGTCATTACATCATAACACATTCTCACACACACCTCCTCTGTCGGTTTTCGTACACTACAGGAATCCAGATGTGTGAGCTGTGAGCGTATCCATTTAGTTAACTAGTAAGGCTGTGAGACGGTTAAAGGGGGGCGTCTGGTTGGTGGACCAACAGTCTGCCAACATGCCCTGACCTGCGCCTCTGATGACCGAAGCTTTCGTTTGGCACGGCTGTCTGTTACACATATATATGTCAATGTTTTAGTCCAACAGTCAGACTTTAACTGTTCGATGTAGCCGTGCTAGCCATGATTCAGACAGCTGGGGAGCTGCAGAGCATTGAAATGAAGTGTGTGTATGTGTGTGTGTGTGTGTGTGTGTGTGTGTGTGTGTGTGTTCCAGTGGACGTGAGGCAGGAGATGTTGGAAGAGGCTCAGGACAAGTTGATGAACCTTCTGAACAGCACCGAGGGTAAAGTCGACCAGTAAGTCCAGCACTACACTGACTGACCAGTAAGTCCAGCACTACACTGACTGACCAGTAAGTCCAGCACTACACTGACTGACCAGTAAGTCCAGCACTACACTGACTGACCAGTAAGTCCAGCACTACACTGACTGACCAGTAAGTCCAGCACTACACTGACTGACCAGTAAGTCCAGCACTACACTGACTGACCAGTAAGTCCAGCACTACACTGACTGACCAGTAAGTCCAGCACTACACTGACTGACCAGTAAGTCCAGCACTACACTGACTGACCAGTAAGTCCAGCACTACACTGACTGACCAGTAAGTCCAGCACTACACTGACTGACCAGTAAGTCCAGCACTACACTGACTGACCAGTAAGTCCAGCACTACACTGACTGACCAGTAAGTCCAGCACTACACTGACTGACCAGTAAGTCCGGCACTACACTGACTGACCAGTAAGTCCGGCACTACACTGACTGAGAAGATTTTAATTTTAAGCTGTCATCAAGGCAAAAAGGGGTGGCTATTTGAAGAATCCCAAATATAAAATATATTTTGATTCCATATGTGTTATTTCATAGTTTTGATGTCTTCACTATTATTCTACAATGACATCAATCTGCCTCACGCTACAGAAACAAGAGATCCTCCTATGGGCCTTTCTGGCTTGGACAAGGCTTACTTACTTTTTATTCTGTCTGCTCAGGGCTCTGATGCGGAACCTGTTCATGGGGTACTTCCACACCCCGAAACCCAAACGCTCTGAGGTGCTGAGGCTCATGGGTAGTGTCCTGGGACTAGACAAGGACGAGGTCAACCAGGTGAAAAACTCTTCCTCCTCCTCTTTACTCCCTCTTCTTCTGTTCTTCCCCTCCTCCTCTATACTTCCTCTCTGTTCATTCTCTGTTGCTGTGAATCTCTAGCCTGGTCCCAAATCAGTCTGTGCTTTCTCTTGTGTTCGTTGTCATTTACTAGTTAACCCCTGACCTCTCGTAGGCTGTGTCCAAATGACTGGTTAACCCCTGACCTCTCGAAGGCGGTGTCCAAATGACTAGTTAACCCCTGACCTCTCGAAGGCGGTGTCCAAATGACTAGTTAACCCCTGACCTCTCGAAGGCGGTGTCCAAATTCGAAATGGCACCATTGGCACTATAAGTCTAAAGTAGTGCACTATATAGGGAATAGGGTGCCATTCTCTGGTCTAAAGTAGTGCACTATATAGGGAATAGGGTGCCATTTGGGAGACAGGCTGATTTATTACGGTTCATTCTGATGGCAAACTATCAGGTCATGTGTTTTGGTTGGCTTGTCCCCCTCTCTACTGATATAGACGTATTCATTATTATGAACTCAGCTCCGCTCCTTCCCATGCCGTGGGGGGAATGAATTCCTTTCTTCTCTGGCAGGAGTGTTGTAGAGATATGAACGGAGATATGAGAAAAATGTGTGTGATAGCCAGCTTATTCACAACAGAGAAATGTCTGTTTCCGTGGTGAGATTAAAGATGGTGTTTTAGTACACATTCATGACACATTATCCCAAAGTTACTGCTGGGACATCAAGTAAACATACTGCTCTACAATAACCAGAGGAATTTATTGAAATGCTCTCTCAGGATTTGAAGATACTCTTTATTTTAGCTCTAAAATCACCTACTGGTGCAATTGTGTCCCCTTTTCTAGTTCAAACAGTGTACCGTTCGGTTGCTCTCTTATGCATAATGCAATCCAGGATTGTTCTGCTTCACATTCTTTGTGTTGCAACGTCCAAGTCAATTAACAAGCTGCCCTAAGTAGGTGATCCTAAAGATCCCCAAGGCTTGTAACTTCAGCAGCCCCTACAAACCCCTGACTAACGCACACACACGCACAAACACGCACACACACACACACACACACACACACACACACACACACACACACACACACACACACACACACACACACACACACACTGAGGCTGTCCAACTAACCGCT